TTCCCATGCCTCTCCCTTTGCGTGTGTCAGGGTGTATGAATTTACATGGACAAGGCAGTTCCTATTACGCATCGTTCTTTGAGATAAAAAAAATGGAATCGATTTGTGTTTTAAGTTCGCATGTTACTTTGCTGTTTACTAAAATAACTCCGTACTCAAACAAGTACCAAACTTTGACGTTCAAAATAGTATCTCTCCAACATCCAAGCAACAAGGTTGGCCCCAGAGGTATGCTCTTAGGGACTGTGTAATAATTATCAGGAGGGCAGGGGCTGAAAAACTAGAGTTATCTGGCAAAAACTTACACGATACCCCCTTCCAAAACAAAAAAATTAGTTCGAACCCCCCTCTGTTATGTTAAAAATAACGTCGCACCCCCCCACGACACTGGTAAACTCAAAACTGGACTGAGCTGCCATCACAGCTTCAATAATGACAAACGTTATTATGTAACATCTAGTATCGAGAAGGATGTTGATCGCTTGATTGAAGATTTAGACAAAGCATTTGCTAAGTACCGGGGTGCTTACCACCTTGGCTCAAAATCTAAAACTTCTGAAGCCAGAAAGAGAAAGGAGCAGACAAAAAAATCAAAGAACAGGAGATTGAACGCTTCAAATAGCAGACGAAAAAGAGCTTGCATTATATTTAGATCCTTGGGAGGAGAGCCTGTTGAACTTTGTTATGAGCCACATATATATGGAATTCAGCAAATCAATTCAGTCGATGAAGAAACATTACTTTTATTCACATCAAAAACCGACAAAGCTTGTCTACGAGATCTGTTTGATTCCCATTGTTTTATGGGGGAAGCTGAAAAACAAGTTCATGATTTTTGTTTTACATAGAATCAGCTCAATTAATTAGAAGACGGGTTAAAATTGATCAGTTGTGAATTTGCTTTTCATTTTGATGGAATATCTTCAATAATCGTTTAACAGCTGTTCGTGTTGATATTTGTTACAGTCTATCATGATGCCTGTATTGAGAATCTTTTATTGCGTTTAATTTTATTTACATTTCGAATAAAACTTGAGGCCCCCCCTCCGTCAAATGAGTGATTTTACTTTGAGCCCCACCTATCTTGGCAGCAATTTTATGTAATGCCCCCCCTCTAGTTCCCCCCTCCTGATAATTATTGCACAGTCCGTTAAAATGTAGCATGAAACATACCTCGCTCCACGGTTTGATGAAGCTCCCCTTGCTACACCGCTCACACTCAGGATCCATCAAGAATTAGAAAACAAAGTCAAGAAACCCTCTGGCACCCAGAGAACCAAACAAGGGGAAAATTTCAATTAATTAATTAATTTCAAAGGGGATAATTTATATAAGCGCCGCCCCTGGGTGAGCGGCGTCTGCAAATAAGCGCAATGTTAGTCGCATATACAAGTGAATACAGTAAAAACCCGCAGAAAAGAGCATAAAGATTTAGGCTGAAATTCGGCATTTTAATACTCAATTATTCAGCGTGGCGAGGAAAAGAGGTTCTTATATATACAAAAGATCACCCCAATTTCGATTATCAAAATTCTGGATGTTTAACTCGATTAGTGTGAAACCTCTAACAATATTTTCTTGTGTATATGCTTCCTTTAATTATTTCAATTAACATGATGCGCACGATATAAATAGCCTAAAATGTTTTGTTCAGCATGTTATTGTTTAGTCTGCAAGCATTCTTACTATGATTATTCAGCTTAGCAAGCATATGTTTGTTAGTTAAACTAGTTCTAAACGATTATGAACTAGTAGTGTAATATTTCTGTGAATGACTATGCTACAACAAACTCTGAAAAATTAAGAACGTATTAAGAACCTAATCAGCCTGATTTGTCAAAAAGTACCCTGAAATAAAAGAAGCTGTTCAGCCTGATCTCGAAAATTCGAGGTTCTTATATGTGGGTAAATAGTATGCGTTTTAAATGAGGGCGTTGGCCTCTAAAACCGCACGTAGCTGGCGGTGTTTATCTTGGGTGACAGCTTTATTCCATAGGTGGTTTTGTCAGTGTCTTTGTTTGTAGCGTTAAGAACCGTAGAAAACGAAAGAGGACAAGCGAGAGGCGTTGACCAAGGTAGATTACAAGCAGTCTCTCTTTTTTCTTGGTCCATCAAGCAAAACGCGCGAGACACCCAAATTATCACACGCGCGACTGAAGGCGCTAAGTGAGACAGGCACGCCCTCGTTTTTCGCGTCTTGCGGCTTTGTCGCTTGACGCTCGCAGGCTTGTGCACTTCCCACACTAAATCTGAAGAAAAAGAGAGACTGCTTGCAGTCTATGACCAAGTTTCAGCGTAAATTAAGAGTATCACTCCTGACTGAGACGCCAAAGAAAAGATAACCAAATAGTGGCAAGATCAATTATGTACAAATTGATATTACATCATAATGTAAGATGCACGGTGCATGGTGCATCACTTATTTAAGGTGCACAGAACCCCCGCTCGTTAAATTTCTCGTTTTGGGGGTTGTAAGTGACGCAATTGAATAAAAATCTTCGCGAAATCTAATCACCAATAGAGAAAAATCAAACAGAAGACAAATTAAGGAATTGCCGCCTAAAGATCCGTTCGAAGATTTGCAGTGCGGATCAAAGAATGGTTAGAAACTCTGTGACATCAAAAGTGCAGCCTTCATGCAGGTTAATGTACTGTTAACCGAGAAGAGCTGGGAAAGAGGTTGAGTTGTTTTGGTTCTGAAAACAAATGGCAGACATTTCACTCGTTTTCAAAGTAAGAAGTAGGCGAAATAATAGCAAAAACTTGGCAAGAGCAGTAAGAAGACAACTCAAAGGGCGACATCTGCTATTTGGAGAATATTTGCGTAGCTGAACAAACCTAAACCTGCACTATCGAAGATGAACTTAACATCGATGGAGGTAAGCTTGTTTTAGCTATGTTTTTAAACTAGGAATTATTTTGAATGAAAAATAAAACAATGATTGAATTCCGCTTTCGTATCAAATGAAGAATGATAGAGATCTCGGAGGGTGTTATCCGCCTCGGCCTACGGCCTCGACGGATAACACCCTCCTCGATCTCCATAATTCTTCATAAGATACTCAGCCTCATTCATTAATTGTTAGATATTTATTACATTTATGGTCGAAATTTATTAAACTTTATGGTGAGCCAGATTATTACATTTGTTTTTAGTAATTTATTGCATCTATGGTGGGTATTACATTTCTGGTTGACGTTTATTACATTTCTGGTTAGTATTACATTTATGGGTGATACAACTACAACGTGAAATTTCCTAGCTACGTATGTGTTCCTGTTTGCTTTTTTTTTTTTTTCCATTGCCGCCCATTTTCACCTTGCTTGCCGCTGGCATTTCTCACTGCTACTATTTAAAAACTTTCATGTTTTTCTTCCAAAGAAATTAGTCTCCTTTGTTTTTCATCTCTAGCTCTAGCTCTTTCTCTGTTATCCACGTCAGTGTAGACATTAAAATTTAGTCAAAAAAAGAGGGCTCGACTCTGTTGGTGCTTTTTTCTCAGTCTCTAAACTTCCGGGTGGCTATGCGATTTCCTACCGAATGAATTTATTAAAAACGTAACAGCGTGACAGTATAATTCAACAAGTCACGTTTGCTAAAATCTTCAGGTTATCAGGCACGTTTGCTAATTCCGTTAAAAGAAAAGTTTTTTTGTTAAATTTAGCAAAGATTTTCATTGATTTCTCCTTTTTAATTTCAAAATGTTTTTAGGAACTTTTTTTGTATTTATAAGAGTTTTTTTTTAATTAAATTGTTGATGATGATAAGTTTATCTTGAGCCCGGTAGTAACGTACAGCAAACATGGAAATGCCTGATAGGAGCTTTTCCTTTTTTATATTTTGATCGGAAGGCGCTGGCCTTAAAGGATGATTCAAAAACGTTTTTGCGGGTAGCAACCTTTACCTCTTTCCACTACCTTTGTCCCCTGTTAAGAATCATCTAAAATATTTGGGTCAGAACAAAGGGGCCTTGCAATTGCCAGGTTTAAACCATGTAACGCAAGGGACGTGTACATTGTAAGCAAATTGTACAAACAAAATAAAAATGTATATGATATGTAAATTTAACTGTAAACGCAAGCAAGTTTCCTAAGTTACCTTCTTGATGACGTCAGCACTTATCTTGTGGGGCACCATTCATGTTTTTAACAAGATCTTTATGTTTACCAAGAGTTAAGTAAGTTGAATAACGAAGTGGGATGAATAATTACAAATTGCAACAGCTTTATTTTGTTTATTACAATTCGTCATGGACAGTTGTTTTAAAATAAATTGCAACAGTTTTTTTATTACAAAGTACGTTGGACACGGTTTATTATAAACTTCGACAACATTTTTATTACAAAATGCGATCGATTTCTCACAATTTTTTTTGCAAAGTACGATCGATGATTATAACAAATTGCGACAGTACCGTCTTTCTACGAGGCCCTTTAATGTCCATCTCAAAAAAGTGACTGTCCAAACGTGACAAGTAAAAGAAAATAACTGAAGAACGGCAGGAATCAACACCAGGAACTCGTTTTAGGGAAGCCCCAGCGATCCCCGAGAATACGATCCAAAACAATCACTTTTTGCTAGGATATATGCTTTTTTTATTGGAAAGGGAAATCACAAATTTCGACTGGAGATACTCCCTAAAGGCATAGAGGCCGAGTACTAACAATAAATGCAATCCAAAAATGACTGAAAATGTAAATGTAGAGGCGAAAGTCGATCATCATAATACTAGCATCCACACTTAGAAAATCCTTTTAGGGCTTCGCCCAGTGACTCTAGCTTCGTGAGGATTAGGGAACACGTGACAAGGAATCTATCTTGTATGTACGTACGTAGTCTCAGAAAACTTTAACAATCATGTTTATCATGATAATTGAGCACCATTGAGGTGAGAATTTGGGCGTTAAACCTTAATCCCAAGACTCACTACCTCCACAGACTGCCACCATCCCTCTCTTCAGTGCAGACAAATAAACGTTTGTGATAAATGGTCAGGATTCTATGATAAAAAATGCTGCTTATTTATCTTACCAGTACAGGTTCGTCCATCTCCTTTATAACCAGGTTTGCAGGTACATGTGTAGGACCCTACGGTATTGTGACATATTGCATTGATATGACAGTCATCAGAGTTACTTGAACACTCGTTCAAATCTGAAAGGAAATTAAACCTTTTTTAATTAAAAAAAACAGCAATTAATTTTTAAAGCATAGTGGAAAGGTTAGTTGGAGGAAAGGCGGAGAATAGCAAGAAAGGATGTACCTATTTTTTGTTTTCGAGTTAAAGTAAAATTGCCGTTCAAGTACCTTTTAAAAGGAAATGAAGATTTTTGAGTTTGATATTACTTATAATAATTTCGTCTTTTCTAGCCTCGTAATAGCGTAAACAGTGTGTCTCGTTGTGGCATTCAATGGTAGGTTTCAACAATAACCCGTGACCCGGAGAGAGCAACTCGCACACCACCATTAAGCCTATGCCAATGCGTTTTCTCGGACAGGTATATTTTTAGATACACTTGTCGAGCACCTTTTTCCCTCGATAATGGATGCATGCTCCTCTCGAGCTCCGTCTATGACTTAACTTTGTAAATAAAGATTTTCTAAATTCGTGCACCAGAGTTTCTCATTGATAACTTGATGGTCGAAGAAATGACGTAACAAGGGTACATGAAATTTTCTCCCTCGAGGTTATGGACACCTGGTTTCAATTGATTTACAATGCCTCTTCTTACCATCACAGGTCCGTCCGTTTCCCGTATATCCGGCTTTGCACGTGCAGGAGTGTGAGCCCGCGGTATTTTGGCAAACAGCATTGACGTCGCAGTCATGGTAATCAGAAGCACATTCGTCCACGTCTATAGAAATATTCAGAAAACCTTTATTTCATAAAACATATATTAAAATATAACCAATTGTCATTGGTCATCACAAAGTCAGCCTCCGTCAACAATATTTTTTTCGTTTAATGGAAAGTGGACATCTGTAAATCAACAACCTTTAAAGAGCCTTTGTCTCGCTATTTCTTTTTAAGGTGGCTGAACACAGTTTCGCGACGGTCAGCGGTAGCGCATGTTTTAAATTAGACAAACAAACATGGCGGCGAAAAAAGCAATGGAACACAAAAGATGATTTCTCAAAACCTACTCATTAAAATTTTGTATTTTTTTTTTTTTTTACTTTTATCGTATTTTAAATAATGAGAACTTTAAAATGGGAGTTGAACAGACGAATTTTGTGACACATTTAATAATAACAGTACAATTATATTATTGATTATCTGAAAACCCCTCTGTTAAAAATTTGGTCAAATAAGTTTCAAACAGTAATGATTAATTATAGTAAGCTGTGTGCGAGTTTATAGGAAAATCTAATGAGCGAATTTTATGAAAACTGAGTAAAAGTGAAATTTTAAGGTTGTATTCAATCGTTCATGTTGCCATGGAAACTACAAAAACGTCAAATTTTGCCTGTCAGTCAAAATTTTTCATCATTATATTTTTCACTTGCCAAGTTTCAGCTTGTGAGCTGCAACCTTTCTCTTGCCATAATTTGGCAAATGACCTATACTCAGAAACTGCCAAAACTGTGTTCAGCCACCTTAAAAAGCCAGAACTTTTTTCGCGTCAATTAAAATCCAAAATAACGGTTAAGTTTTGTTGTTTGATACTATTCAGTTTAATCAATGAAACTGTTTCCTGGTTTCTGTTTTGGAACTTGAAAGTTTTAATGTTTTACCTGCCAAACTCACCAAAAAAAGTATTATGACTAGTGCTCCCTGATGAAATTTACCTGCTTTTTTTTTTCTCTAATTATCCCAGGATCATTTTGAACATGGGTAAAAGCACTGATTGAAAGAATTGACTTAAAAAAGCGAAATCCTAGTGACATAGCTGCCCCTTAAAAAGGAAAAACAAAAACAAGCGTTTCCTATCAAAAAATTGATGTTGTCCAGCTTTAAAATTCTTAAAAGGTGAACCCATCAGCTGGACGTTTTAGGAGAGACATCCCTGGGCGAATAATTCATGCACAAAAATCGGCATTTTCTATAAAGTTTAAATGAATATTACCCTTAAAACAAGTGAAGTTGTAGCAGTTATCGCACGGTACATCGTTCCAGGTATATCCACCCCTGGAACCAAGAGTGTGCACACAGTCTTCATTTTTCCAGTTATTTGGTTGGTTTCTTGCCCAGAACCTGAAACTGCTTAATTCTTTGTTGGTCCAGACGAATGATCCTTCCACGCTCCGATCATTGAGTCCAATCCAGGATTTTTCACCGTTATGGCGGTGCTGGATGTAAACATTCTCTTTTTGGTCGTGGACCGTTACGAGACTGGAGCTCATGGTGGAACAATTTGATACAGCGGTCAGCCATGTGGCGCATGCCTGACTTGTGATGAAGCAGTAACCGCCGAAGTAGCTCCACCCTGGCTTGCATATATCTGTAGATAAATTACAGCGGATGATATTTCATGCAAAACTTGCAAAGGTAATAAAAATGTGGCAAAGAAGAAGAACTAAAGAAAACAGGGATACAAACGGAGGTGCAGTATAAAAGCTGATGTCAACTGATGTTCAAAAAAATCAATCGCTCAACTTAACAAGCGTTAAGGTTGATTTCCACTGTCGCTTAATTTTACGCGCTTAAACAAAATAGAGGCAATGTATGGAAAGTCACGCGTAAACGTAAAAGTTGAACCTATTGTAGCTCAACCTTTAAGTTTACGCGTAGCCTTTCATACATTGCCTGTATTTCATTTACGCACATAAATTTTACGTGCATTCGCGCGGAAAAATTACGCGACAGTGGAAATCAACCCGGATGTACACCGTCGCGTAATTTTTCCGTGCGAACGCACGTAAAATTTACATGCGTAAATGAAATACAGGCAATGTATGAAACGCCATGCGTTAAACACGTAAATACAATGTTTCTATTTTAAGTGGATTGGTGTAGCTGGACCTGATTGGTGGAGCAGGATTAATTAAACTTGAGCATTTATTGCTCCTCAGAGTTTCATGCCTCTTGCGAAGCAATCATCAGGCAACTGCCAAAAGTAACGGTTGCAATCAAAGATATAGGGAAAACAGAACAATTAATACGAGGCGTGGCGCGTAGCGTATGGTGCGTGGCGCGTCATATCGCTAATGGTGATGCTTATAAAGAACATGTCAAATTTGCGACAAAATCTAATGATCAAATTAGGGCAGTGTTTAATAGAAATGTCTTTGAGTGAAACTCTGGTGTTAATCCAGTTCCATCAGTCTGCTTGTATTCTGCTCAGTTCAACTATTGAGTACTCTTATAGTGGACGAGGGCATCACTCTGGTACTTCGTTATGTTTCTACTTTATTTACGCGGGTAAACTTTACGGGGGTACGCACAGAAAAATTACGCGACGGTGGAAATCCACCGTTACGTTAAGACGTAACACGCGTAACGTTAGGATATTAGGGAGTTTAAGATACGGCGACTACGGACTACGGCTACGGATAAATATGCTACTGCGCATGATCAAAACCACGTGACTGTTCATTTCTCCCCCGTAGTCCTGCAGCTACGGTGAGTTGTTGAGCTGTTTCGCGTAGTCGGGACTACGGAGAACATTTTGCTCGTATTTTGCCGTCTCGGTAATTCAAGAATCTCGTCTTCTCGTAATAACGTTTTCAATTCACCTGCTTTAAGTGAGAGGGAAGCGAAATATGTAAGTTGTGTCTAATTTCAGCTAATTTCTGCTCAGATTTACGCTTTTAATCCACTGTTGTGACTACATTTTTATCTAGCTAAGCTCATGTTTAAATAAGCTTAGCTTTTTATACGCAGAATTCAGATTGACGGCCTAGGAGAAGAGAAATCATGGAGGTAATTTACTTTCTCTTCGAACTTGAAAAGTTTCAATGTTTGTTCGAACTGATTAGTGAGTCTTTGTACTTGTGTAACCTTTATTTATGCGAGTTTTTGTATCGCGCCATTTGCTGAATGAAAATGATGTAAACATGCTCGAGACAATCGAAACTCGGCATTTCAGTACTTCAAACTACATCAGATCAGTAGTTGGAGAAGTCCATCTTCTAAATCTAATAAATGAGCTATTACTATTTCTGTCTATTGACATAAGTATTCATGGGCGAAAAAATAAAACCTGTGTAACCAAAACTTTGTTTACCAATTTCACCCGACGTAATTGCTTCCTTCGAGTATGGAAGAATTTGTTCATTGTTCTAAAGATAAGATCACATCTTTGCGTGTTGTTTCCCTCTCTGCCTCTTCTGTCGTAGTCTACTGTCTGTAGTGCAATCTTAATAACGTTCTATATTTGCACGACTCAACCCAGTGCTACGAACAAAGGACAACGCTCGTCCAGCCGTAGTTCGTAGTCCGTAGTCTCCGTATCTTAAACTCCCTATTAAAGCGTAGGGTCTACGGCTCCAGTTCCAGCGTGCGCAATTTTCAGAACTTTTTGGAACGTTAAAATTTTCAAGAACACACGAGAAGAGAGGGGAAATCGATCCACCTCACCTGATAAGACCATGTATTGTATATAGAGAGGATCATATTTAGATTCATATAATTCCTTGAAACAAATTCTTGCCCCTGTCGTGTTGATATACTGTGAAATGAGGAACAGACGCGTGGTTATTACTTCAGAATTGTAGATACAAAGATCTTGCTAAGAAAACTTTCTCCTCACTCCGGTCACTTGTACGTCTTGCTGGATTTTTGAAAACGTTACTGCCAAAATAGACCTTTCCTTCCACCAGTATTTTTCAAATCTCCATAGTAGCTAATGAAAAAAATCAAGAGTGCAACCATCAATTTTACTCTTCTTCCCCTTTTCTTTCTCCTCTTTGCCTCTTTTCATTCACTTGGTGTACCGAACGCAAGGAACCTGCCTTTTTAGCCTCTTCTCAGTCAAATGACTGCCATTTGGTAAGGATGTCTTCATAAATCCGGCTAGACAATATAATAATTTGTTTTTATGACCCTAAAAATTACTTTTTAAGCTAACAAGTACGAGCGAAATCGGGTCCCTTATAGACGCGTATTTATTGTTTTAAACTGGGAAAACATTTGAAATTGTAGATAAAAAATTCTACCATGTACTCTGGTAATAATACGTTTCCAAGAGTACGGGGGTTGACCAAAATCTCTTTTTTTGTTGCCAGTAACCTCTCTACAGCGATCTACCCACAAATAATAAGAGGGTCTTAATGAGGTGGTAGCTTTGACAGTTCACGGTTAATTTTCTCTGATTTTGACGGTTGACAGTTAAATTTTAGAGCTTTGACGGTTGACGGTAGCTATAGTACTAAGTGGAAATCTACTTCAAGAGTTTTAGTAAATATTAACTTCTGCATAAATTTATATTAACTGTTGTGTTTTGGAGTTTGCTTAGCCTTTCACTTATAAAATTTTGAAATAATTTCAGATATAAGCAAGTTCTAATGTCGTTGTAATGATGTCTAGAAGAGAGCATGGGAACTGGTCTTCCAGTCTGGACCTGGATTTTTCAGGAGCCAATAGACCATGACGATCACTCGAGATACTGAAAAATGCAAGATTGAAGGGTCTTGAAAATTTTGACGGTTACTATCAATCTGCACTTTTGGAATTTTTGACAGTTGGTGGTAAGAAATATCCTTTTTTGACAGCTGACGGTTAACCCTATTGAGACCCTCTAATAAGGGAACATTCATGACAGTAGTTTGCACCCTAAACAGCCTCTCTTCAGTCAGGAAACAACTCGACCACGATCATGATATTAGGCCATCAGCCTCTGACTCCGTTTATCATAGTTCTCTTTTGTTCTTTCTTTCTTTCCTTTCTTTTTTTCGGTTTTTTTTTTTTTTTTTAAGCAGCCTGGGTCAAAACGGTGTTTATGATAATTAATAAAATTGATCAGCCTTTGCTTATCTCTCGCTATCATAACGTGTTCTGACTTAAAAGAGAGCAAAAATTTCTCTCAATAAATATCTTGAAGCAAGAGATCATAATAGTCCTATTATTATGATCTCTCTTGCTTCAATTTTGGTTACATGTTAAGTCACGAGATCAACTAATTTAACATTAAGAAAATTAATTTGACGATTTGGTAGTAAGCTTACCTTGTATGAAGAGACCTAAGCGGAACATACCATAAGTTTTTAATCGCGTACTTTATTATTTGGTGCTTGTTGGGTTCTGTTGCAGTAATCATTCCTCAAACCCCTCAAAAGATCCCGAAGAAGGAATGTTTTGGTATGAATTAAAGCCCAGCAAAAGTACTCAGTAAGGCTTAAAGGCATAAAGATCTCCTTGTCTCACCTCAACCCAAGAAGTTATAGAATTGTGCATTGGATCCAGATTTCCACCAGTTGAAGAATGATTCGCTGACACAAAAACGCTTGGAGCGCTTTGATAAGCCATACTGAAGTAGATATCCTAAAAAAAAAAACATTTTATGTTTTAATAAAATAAAACAGAAATAACATCATAATTCAATTTGATTGAATGAAAAAAGAAAAGCCACTGACCTTACAGAACGCATTGTTGAAATCTGCTGGAGGATTGTTGGAATTTGCAAAGTAAACTGAATTCTGTTCTGAGAAAAGAGGCTTCTGGGAAGTGGAAAACGCCAACCAATTCTACAGGAAAAAAAGGAAAAGAAAGTGGTATTCATTTTGTGAGCATCATAGTTGTTGTGTTGTTATGTGGGACGCTAACGGTGGACATGAGATGGAATAAAGCTTGATAAAACGGACCAACTTTCGCGTCACGTTTTAATGCTATATGCTTGGGCAAATCATCCAAAAAGTTATTATGGCTACTACCTTATTCTCCTTTATTTTCTCGGGACATAAATTTCGCGAAAATTTTCTCGGCACATTTCGCGAGTCTTTAATTTCGCGATCGTGGAGAAAAATTGTGTTTGCAGGGAATTTAATTTCGCGAAATTGACGATTAAGTGACTTTATTTTTTCCTTTTTACAAGAAAATTGTACGTTAATCAACAATTGAAACAAAACCAATATGCTGTCCCTTAGCGGCAGCCGTATTCCTCTAAAAGTCAGTCTTACAGTAATGAAAATAGTCTTCTTGTTCTTCCGAGTCATTATCGAGTATCGAGAGTATCGTTACATGTCCTTCCTAGGAGATCTCAATATAACCTTCAATCGCTTCAAATGGATCCTCAGGGGGAAGACTAAACGATTCATCTAATAGTTGAACGATGCCAGCCTTTTCCCACCCTTTAGCGATTTTTAAATATTTAAAACCAAACTAGTGAGCAGCACTCTGCGAACTGTTGCTGTAAAACTTGTTTATTCTCCTACGCGTTTCGTCTAACTATCGTAGACTTCTTCAGGGAGTTTTACAATCAAGTACTAAACGCCTGTATTTAAGCCATAATATGACTAAAAATAATGATGGTCGCAAACATTGAAGGTTTGGTCGGATTTACCAAAAGGAACAGGCGCAGCTGTGAAATTGGGGCCACGGTTTTAGCTCAAATAAGTAACAAACAAGTTTTACAGCAACAGTTCGCAGAGTGCTGCTCACCTAGTTAGTTTGAAAAATTTTAAAAATTTTGATAGATGAAAGCTCCTTGTACTAACACCTTGTGTTAACAATTGTTTAGGACCCTTGAAAGCACAAATACATGATTCTCTATGTCCATTAAATTTCGCGAGATCAAAGTTCGCGGTCGTTATTTTTCGCTGGTCTTTAAGTTCGCGAATTTTTTAAAATCGCGAAAATCGCGAATTTAAGAACCCGCGAAAATTAAGGAGAATAAGGTACTCCATGTCTAGATTTATTTGATATCTTCTTCATAGTTTGAAAAAGCTTTCTCTGTATGGGTTAAGAAGCTGCTGACTACAGCACAGAATTGACTTAAGACCGTACACGATATCCTAATGATATAGGCCGTTTAACCATCTCCTAGTCAAAGCAGTATTAAGCCTATAGTTTTCATAAGTCGGGAAAATCCCAGACGATCGGGGATTTTACTTTTTGCCGACCCTCCCAGATATATCGGATAATCGCCACAAGTCTGTCTCAGATTCTTCCGATTAATTTGGCCGGAAATGGAAAGTGCGCCAAAATTGAAACTTGCGTGGTAGGGGGACTAGAGCCCAGCAATTTAGGGGATTGGTAATGAGAGAAATCCATCGCCGACGTCCCCGACGGTACAAATTTGAGTTTTCATCCGTCGGAAATGATCGCCGACCATCGCAGAAATCTGGGACGCGTCGGGAAAATAGAAACACTTCCGATCCTCCAGATTTGTCCCCGTCCATCCCAGACGATCGGGGATATCTACGATTTCGAGTTTTCATTAGTCGGCTAAATCTGGGACAGTCGGGAAACAGTAAAATCCCCGATCGTCTGGGATTTTCCCGACATATGAAAACCAGGCTTAAGCGTCCGAGCTTCAGTAAATCCCAATTTTTTCTCTGTTTACTTAGTACTTTGTTCTTTCTCGTTTGTTAAAAAGAAAATTTAATTCAATTGACACCTATTTTTAATAAGGAAACCGGGTTGTGTGTCCCTGTGGCATGTTTTAAGCATGATCCGCTTGTTCTCCAAAGATAGCAACTCGTCAACATTAAAATACTTTACTTACTACATAAATATCCTCATGAGAGCCTGCGTAATTTTCAAGTTCCCTCAAACATATTTTACAGGAAGATGCTGTGATATCTTCCAACCAGACACTGGCGGCGTCCCTCTTCAGTCCAGCATCATGATGTGCCACCGTCACAAAAACAAAGGGCTTCTTGGAGAACTTGCCCTGCAAGAGAAAAAGACCGAATTTGCAGCTTGATAGTTTAACCAATCAGCGCGCTGCCATTCCGTTAAGAATTCTTCCATATGTACAAATAGAAGGATCTTGAAATCAAAAACAGGATAAAGCTTTTTTGTAAATTGAAAAACGTTTTTAGATAACTGTTTGTTATTATTTTTTATCAGCCAATGGGCGAAAAGATCAAAACATGCATTCTTCGTTTTCCCGCCAGAGAAAACCCTAATATGGAGAAGGCATTGTTCGATTGGCCAATCGTGTTGCAATATGACGTCAAAGCGAAGTATCGAATGATTTCTAAAAAGTTCTCAGGCATGCGATCGATCAGAGAGTATAGAGAGGAGAAGTCGTTACGTCACGTTGCCATGGTAGCAAAATTTTTGGATGACAATAAACCGAAAAAGTCACTTAAAAGTCTATTCGCACTATCTCAAACTTCACCGATCTTATTCATTTTCATTTAATTTGGCCAATCTTCTTTGGGACCTTATCTATCGTTATCTAAGTTTAGAAAATGAAAGCGACAATTTTTGTGTTATTTTCACCTACTCCATAAAGCGGGCTCGTGAAATTAGGAAGTTCATGTCGAAGTGATACACGTGTAAAGTTGTTGTTTGTTTATATAAACATTATTTTTTACCGATCTCCTTGCCGTCGCCGTCGCCGTCGTCGTTGGTGTTGTTGTCATCCAGAAATAGTGCTACCATGGTAACGTGAGCTCACTCTTCTTGAAGTTTTTTCACCTGAGCGTTTGCTTAACCAACCAAAAGCCATGCGCGTTTGTATCCGTTTGGAGAAACCATTAAAATCGCTTTTTTTCGTTCGTTTGTTATTTCTGTTGTTCGCGCGTTTTCATTTCAAGGTCATACGAAAATCGCTCTAACGAATAAAAACAGTACAAACCGAAGGAAAATTGACAGTCTCGCAGGTCGTCCCAGTCCACCACTGTGAAATGCGTTGCACTCCCGCTACCCCACCTAAGGGAGCACCTTGGTAAGCCAGCCAGTCTACCGTTACGTTAGAATAAGACAGTCGCTCGTTAAAACCTGCTATCATCACACACGCGGTAAATTTATCGTAATTGACATCCTCAATCCACGATACAGAGGCATCATGGACATAAGACTTGTCGCTCGTATCGAGATGATTGACAGTTATCTGAGCTTCAATGGGTTTGTCAGGATAAAACACGTACGGTTCCAAACGAATAACTTGACAAAATGAATACCCCAGGGAGGGAGTGTGCGGCATGCTGCGACGGCCACGCTGTAACGGAAATCCTAAAAAGACAAGGAATGGCCGTTTAAGCTCGTTTAAATCCTAAGGAAAAAAATTGCACATGATAAAATATGGTGACGTCCTAATGGCCAGGAAAATAGGAACGACAAACTATCCTTCTCGTATTAGCCACATCACTTTTGTTTGTAGTAGTGACATAAAGCCCCAACCTAAAAAATACATTTAATTTGGCTCTGAAGATTGACTCAAACTCCTTTTTAAATTTTGAGAGTGATAGCGCATAGACGCAGATGGCACCTATTATATCGAGGCGGTTAAATAGACTTAACAAGTGAGGATTGGTCGTTGCAGATATATTAATAAGAAGGTCAACAAATGGCTTGCAGAATTTAAACTCAATAGAGGGGTCACTCCGGCTGACACGCATATAGTTGTCAGTCTTTTGTTCTCTTATATATCGGATCTACCGCTGCCTTTGTTAACCTCCCAGTAAGATTCCTCTTCAGCGGTCCTGAAAAAGTACAGATCGAGCTGTGGTGTTCTTAAGCAGCTCTCGTAATTTGCAAATAAACAAATTTGTATCTTTCTTAGTAAAACCCAAACCGCCCTAATTACCAAGTCGCTAATCAAAAACTGCAACCATTTAAGTGAAATCCTTTATGGAGGCACTACAATATATCTTTCTTGCTAGCAGACCGGGGTCTCTTTTCTCTCGCCGTGAGAGACCTCTGTAAGCAAGAAAAGTACTATCTTGCTACAATACTTTTTAGCTAGTGAAGTTTATACGAGGAGAAATAGGACGCCGCCGCTTGTGCCCTATTGTTCCTCAGCGTGATATAAATGACCATATGATTATGCCAACCACAAAGTACACCCTTTTTTTTTTATAAGAATATTGTTTTCCCGGGCCAGGCTGAATATTCTTATTTTTCCGCCGATTTTAGGCTGTAAATATTCTTGCATTATTCTTAATAATAGCTCATGACATTTCCGTTTTAGAATATATTAAGGTATCAATTATAGTTTTGTTAAATATAGTTAGCTAGTTTTGCCGTTTAAAGAAAAGAATAAATTGAAAACGTATATTTGTATTGTATTTATAGATTTTCACCACACGAAATTATATCCTTTTCAAAATCTCAGCCTTGAGTTGATTCTTAAAGTATTCTTAAGATTTCGCAAATTTCAGCCTCGATATTCTTATAAAATATATTCTTATAGAAAAAAAAGAGTGTATTAATGAAAAGTAAATGTAAATCAAGTTGATCTTACCTTCACAGCTACCAGGATGCTGTATTGTAAAGTTCAGCTGCAGGGAACACATTTCTTGTTCAAACAGGCATTTATTATCATAAGTGGTGCCGTTTGAAGAGCAAACTGGTTCTTGATAGGATGGACAACGGTCTACGCAGATGCAGCGAGCATCGTGGGGCCCCATTGCCTTACAATAACCATAGTGGCCACATGTCACTTCAATGCAAGGATCTAAGTCTAGCATCATTGAAAGGAAAAGACAATCAATTTTCAAAGTAACTCTATGAAGTTATAAAGCAAACCTTAAGCTAGAAACCAGAACAAAGAGAAAGACTGTCACACTCGCACTGCGCGTAGACTGGCATTTATCCCATGCCACAAAGAATACAGCTAATCAGAAAGCTAGAAACAATTAAGAGAGCTCATTCCCTCCTGCTAGAAACCTGTAACATATTGTGCGGTATGCAGTAGCCTCTCCTCCCCTCAGGAAAAATCGGAGGGGGGCTCTGTACACAGGCTACGCGTTATGTAACGGGCGTATTTCACGAAAGAAATCCCGGCAATGCTTGCGGCCTCCTACCCTGCGAGTACAGGCTACATTTTCGCGAAAATGTAGCCTCTGCTCGCAGGGTAGCGGCCTCCACATTTCCATGCCGAAAATAGGGTAGATAGTGACAAGCAAAACCTTTCATTTTATCAAGTTTTCTACAAGCAGTTTGTAAAATACTCTATAAAACCGGAGATTTAACTAAAATTTGGACGTCTTTGGAGTCAAAGTTATAAAAAAGTAATAAAAAACGAAATCAAACTTTGACAGAAGTTTAGGAATTTTCCTTACCTAGAGCAACAAAAGCAAACGTTTAACTTACTTAGAAACGACAAGTCCCGTACGCGTCAGAAACATTTGAGATATGTTTCTGTCATTGTCTTCAGTACAATTACAAACTTTATTCATTGACAAGCTGTCGATCATTTGAACACTGTTGTGGGCAGACTAAGTGCGATATTTAAAAAGTGACTTTCTTCGAGTTTCATACCTGTGATTACGTAACTTTCATCGTTGTAGGATAATATTGCCGGCATTAGTCATTAGAGTTTTGAAGAATAATCCCTTTTTGTTTGGTTAGTGGAACAAAAGTATTTATAAGAACGCTTAATTGATTCAAAAATTGTGGTATAAGAGTGGTGTTATTTTAAATAATGCTTAATGTGTTATTTTAGTGTTATGTGTTTGCTCGAGTTTGTATTGCGCTATGCATGTTTTGCGCTAAAGCGGACTCACTGTTGTGGCGCGAGTTTCGTCACACACTGATAAACAAAACATATTTTCGCAGAGGGCCAAAACACAAGATTGTGCGAGATAAGATTTAAATGGCCTCCTCTTTCTAAAGAGACCTTTGAACAATTTTTTTCTTACCTCCAATTACTAAGTAATCGACTGTGATAATATTCTTCATATTTTCGTCGCTGTTGTAGTGTTTGATGCAAATCTCCATGTCCTTTCTGGATGTAAACTAAGGACAAAAGTATGGTAACCACAGTATAAATTGAGGTTAATTGATGCTAATAGTGGCCTTTTTAGTCATGTTTATAGTTCCTCTCGTCCCTTTTAAGTTTGACAATTGCATAACTATCTAGTTGCTCAAAGATGATTTTTACTTTTTACGGACCCGAAAAAATGCCCGGACTCTGTGGGAACCGTTTGAATTTGAATTTTCTACATATGCTAGATAAAGTATTGAAATTGACAACGGATATCCTAAACTCTGTACTCTTTCAAAATATTCGAAATGAATATGTCTTGCTTCGAGTTTGTGTTGGTGCTATTTTGAACTATCTTTTTGTTTCTCTTGTATAAATAAAGATGTGAATTTTAAGTGCGAGTTCCGAAAAATTGGGGCTGTTCGGAAATATCATGATTACTCACGCTGCATCAAGCAGAGCAAAAACCTAGTACTGACTCGCTTAAAACTGTCATAAATGTCGAAAATTTCGTAATACGTTTATAATTTCATAGGTAGTCGACCTGAACAGGGTTCAGTTGTTGACAGTGACTGACGTTTCGACAACCTGTGCGGTAGTCATCTTCAGAGTCAAAATTAGTTGTATCACGTCCGTAGATGATTTTACTTTGGTTATTGACCTGATTGGTCAATTTAGGAGGGGGGTATTGGGATTTTCGGTTTTGCGGTTTTGTCTATTTTTTAGACCGGTTTTTCGGTTTTTGTTGCAAAAGACTTCGGTTTTTCGGTTTTGGTGGTCATTGCGGTTTGCGGATTTTTCGTTTTTTAGCATCTGGTTTTCGGTTTTCGTGAATAATACTAGCGGTTTTTCGGTTTTGGTACCCGATGTGGTTTTTGGTTTTTCCTATTTTGTCCTATTTTGGGTTCCGGTTTCTGTTCGATTTAAGCAGCACTTGGGGTCGAATAACTGCGAAACGCCAAAGTTATTTAGAGGAATGCGTAACAAAATAAATGTCATGGTATCTCCATTGACGCCCGGCGAGACTTTGAACTCGCAGACCCCGGGGGGCACTTGGGTATTTTTTGGGTGGGTATGTGCCGCCCCTGAACTTCAAATTGGCACCCCGTTCTAGAAAAAAATTCCCCTAAAATTGATACCCCGTTCTAAAAATGGGCCAATTTTTTATACCCCGTTCTAGTATTCGCGCTAAAACGGATACCCCGTTCTAGAAATGGGCCAATGTTTTATACTCCGTTCTGGGTTGCAACAAGAGTACAACAGTTTGCTTGTTAACGCATTGAACCGTATTTTTAAAAGCAATCTGTCCTTGAATACTTTCAAATGGCTGCTTACAAAAGTGGAGCTTTCGTGCGCTCGAATTTTATACCCCGTTCTAGAAAACGCCTCTGAAATGGATACCCCGTTCTAAATCAGGAGTTTCAAAATCACGACCCCTTTGGGCGGCACATACCCGTATAGGTAATGTATGGGAGTACCCCCCGAGCGATGGCTTCCAACGTACCTCCGGCGACAGCGACGGAAGAAGCAATTGTGGATTGTGTTGCGTTTTTTTACGAGGAGAGGAAAGGCGGCGAGAATTTTCGAAAGAAAAACAAGTTTAGATGTAAAGTGAAAAGGGAAGAGAGAAGCCTGCAGAAGCTTAAGAATAGTGTTTGGTAAGTCAATCGACAATCATTAATGTCATTATACAGTGAAACCTGTATTAAGCGGACACCGTATTAAGCGGACACCCTCTATTAAGCGGACAGTAGACGAAGTCCCAAAATGTATTTCCCTTATTTACTTTAAGTGAAACCTTTATTAAGCGGACACCTCTATTAAGCGGACGCGGACACCTAAAAAGTACGTGAAATAGTCATTTCTATTGTTACCAACCTGTATTAAACGGACACTTGTAATCAAATTCCACTACCCAACATGCCAGACACCGGAAATGCGAAAGATTACCTCGAATTGCCACCCACAACTTTTTCGATTTTTACATTAAAAAACATTACTTGACGAACTTATTTGATTAGTTCCACAGTACAGTATTTTTTTCTATTTCGTTTTGTTTGTATAGAGCTTGTTTCACTCATCTGATTTCTTCAAATTTGAGTTGCAATCTATGTTTATGGTACTATGACCAATCGGTCCACTTTGATAAAGAAATTAATGCAAACGTATATCGTCAAAGTCTCTGGTAGTATTCTTAACATTTCCACTGTTCATTTGAATAGCATTTGACATCTCACATGACTTTATCTATCGAAACCTGTATTAGGCGGACACCCTGTATTAAGCGGACGCTACAACATTCCCCGAGGGTGTCCGCTTAATACAGGTTTCACTGTATTTACATTACAATACATGTAGCTTAATCACTATAGGTTATCCCATACATAAAGCTCGTTTACGAAGACTTAATGTCCCTAATAGTCCTAATACATTGAGAATACGCAATATCTAAGCGTACAAGATCGAAGAGAGGTTAAGAGACTCTGTTCACAGGGTACGTTGTAATCAAACACGTTGCACGTTAGACAATCGAGTCTCCAAACTTTCAAAATGTTCGATTAGAGATTTTCGATTGAAGTTTTCAGAGCTGTAGCTTTTTGCGACTGCAAAATTGCAATTCTAAAGAGGACTTGTGTGCAAATTCTCCTGTAACTAGCGGCTTTTCGGAAATTGAGCCGCAAAGTCTGGGCTCGAGAGAGCGGCAGAAACAAAGCCTATGATTTAACCAGACACAAAAAGATACGAGGGCTTCAGACAAAGTCCATGACATTCACAAATACTTTGGTGAAATTATTGTTAGTTTAGTTTGCTCTGTATGCCCCACTTGTCACCATTGTATCGGTTTTTGACGGTTTTGTATGCGGTTTTTGGTTTTAGCCGAATTTTTTTGCGGTTTTGCGGTTTTGGATGATTTTTCCTTCGGTTTTGCGGTTTCTAATATACCCCAATGCCCCCCTCATTTAGTGACGATGTTCCTGGTCGACTATCAGTTAAGCCGTTGTTATTGGCTGTGAAGACTTGTCTGAATGTCATTGGTACGTTTCGTTGGATTAATAGAATGCGCGGGAACTTTGTAATTGATTCAAATTGAAAAGATATGGTGAGCAGGCATGGAACAAAGAAACAACAAATCATGTTTAGGAAAGTACTGATCAACTACACCAACTATACTGACACTATAACTGCATCAGCTATAACAAACTACTCTGTGATTTTGCGATGAATTCAGAATCCTCACCTCCACCCAGGCTGTCATTGCATCACATGCAGATCCTTGAGAGCTGACATTACTACCGTAATAACTGCGTTTTGGTGTCAACATCACCACCGGAGGATCAAAGAATAAGCTTGTGAAGTTCACTCTCTGAAGTAAGAAAGAGATAGGGTTGTTAGCATGAGACATTCATGTCAGGACCCCATTTCTTTTTGTGACGCCTGGGTCACAGGGTGTCGGGTTTCCTTCAAAGCCAGTTAACTCTCAGCTAGCACCGTGGCGGGGGAGGCGCAGGGGATCCAAACCTCGCCCACCTCTTGTACCTTGCATTTCCGGATTCCGCCCTTTTTTTCTTCACTTCCTTTCGTCAGCCCTTTTTCGATTGCAGATTATTAAGCACCTGCACTTCCCACCCTTTTAGAACTCTCACCTCGTGCTCTCCCCCTCAAATCCCGTACACCTCCCACCTCCTGTTCTTTTCAAAACAACAACAACTTTATTCTTTGTACAAAAATACAAAAGCTAGATAGTTTGCCCCGCAAATAGCTGGACAGCTAGTCGCGCATGGCGGGGGCAAGACAAGTAGATGAATAACACAATTAACAAACAAAAACGAAAACCTCAGACTATTAAAGAAAGCCTTGCAGTTTGCAACTAAATATAAATAAAACACAGAAGTTAAGTGATCTAAGTAACACAGCATATTGGCATAATTAACATAATTCTCCCGATTTCCCACCTCCGTCAATTCCCACCAGTAGGCAATCAATGCATGATGGCATTTCCAGCTGTTGTGGATAAGATCAGCGATGCGCCAAGCTATGAAATTAAAATTCATCGAAGGAAGGTTAAAAAAGAAACCAAGAACCATCGATTTAAATAATCAACCGTCATCGAAATGTGCGCACGATTTGGATACAGCGAATTTCGCCCAAGAAATTTAAAATAGGCCAAGTCAGTTCAAAAGTTTAATTCGCCAGAAGTCAAGTAGTTTTGGCATTAGTTTTCTTCAGGCAAGAATCATGTTCCTGAGAAGACATAATGCAAGAGAAGGGGATGACTGAACAAGGAAAATCATGTATATATATATTTTTTCCAAATCAACACAAATCCGCTATCCTTTTGCGTTTTTACCTTACCTGACAAAAAGCGAGGCTGTCTTGTTGAGGAGTGTTGTTGGAAAACACAAGGTTCTTCGTCAAAGTGAAGTTGTCCAGGGACACCTCGGTATAAGCCATCCAGTTCTTAAAGAAAGGCAAAACAATAACCAGTATTTTAAGGTGACATACACTCAGCAGTTATTTGCATACTAAAATTCTTGCATTATATGTTACGCTAAATTGAGGTACTAAGATAACCTGATTGATAATGGGTTTAAAAAAAACCCGCCAAAGTCACGATACTCACAACTTCAATGTTTTTGTGAACTCCATCGAAAATTTTTGATTCTTTAAGACAAATCTTAAAACCATCCTTGCGCCAGTCCTCCATCCACACGGCCATTGCATCTTGAGGTCTCTCTGGAATCTGGTGACTGGGGGTTACAAGTATGACGGGGGGTGACAGGAAGGGCTGAAAACAATAAAAAAAGCCTTTGTTAATCTATAAACAAACGTCACACCGGTGGCGACTACTTATCTCTCTTAAACGCCCTGAAGCACGAAAAAGTAACATTTACAATATTTTAAGGATGTTTTTGTTCTTTTCGTGTCATGACCACAGATTAAAAGGAAATGACGAAGACTTTTTTGGATTTTCCCCAAACAAATATTAAGGAAGCTAACAGCCTTGAATCCTCCAAATTTCATTAGAAACAACTACATGAGAAGGTTACCTGCTGGAAGTTGACCCTTTTGCACTTTGTTCCTGTGCTCCAATCGCTTAACGAAGCGGTTCCTTTTTTTGCCCCAGAAGGTGCAGATTGTATTGCTATCCAGTTTACCTCTGCTGTGTTATTAGAACCATCACTGTATTCTAAAATACAAGCCTTGAAACCACTATTGTCTACTGACTCTACCCAAATGGCTCCCCCGTTACCACGAGTTGGGCTTTTGAGAGAACGACCCAGAGTCGCTAGCACGGTAATTTTTTGTCCTCCATGGAAAGGCGATGCAAATGAGACCCTCTGGCAAGCGAACAGCCTAGGGGAGACTGTGGTCACGTTTGCCTTACCAGCTCTAAAACTGGCAGCTAAAACCCAAAAACAAAAAAAAACAACACCGTGCACATTTAAATGAATCGATCGGAAAAGCTAATTGTACCGTATATGAGCACTTAAAGAAACTTAAAGAGCTCAACAATTGCTTTCATGCGCAAGTTAATTTCTCCCTTGCCTGAGTGCCACACCCTAAAAGCAACTCAGCTTTTTCTACCGCTTAAATACCACTGACCTGACAAATAAAACAAAATTCATCGTGAAAAAGGAATAGTATGTTTTTATACCTTTAGTGACTTGGACAAGCAGCAGTACTGCGAAGAGGGCGCAGCATTGATACACTGGAACACGGTGCAAGTCAGACATCTTTGACTTAAATGAAGGGAAACTTTTCGTGAGCAATCCTATATGATGTGCTGTCAGTATATCACTGCATTAAGTGCCTGAACGTACAAACAACACGTAGACGATAATAGAGCTTGTTATTATTATGCCTAAAACATGATGGAATGCGGGGGAGGCTGAAAAGTCTCATCTCTCTAACAATCGTTCCACGGTATTGTAAGTGCTATTGTGACACTTTGTTTGCTTTACGCTTGTGCAAGTTTCAGACACTGTGCTGTTGTCTCAAAGCTGTAAAATTAACTCCGTCTTTGGGACTGTCAAGTTATTATCTTGCTGTTTTGTGTTTTTCAATTTATCATCACCGTATTTTTAAATAAGAGCACTTTGTAATTTCCTGGTACAAACTGTATCTGACAATCACATTCTCAAAACCCCTTGTGATTGGTTGTCCGACGCACAGAAGCTTCAGTTCATTACTGTATTATATTTAATAATATAAGCATCATTTACAGTATCCATGAATATTTCATTCTACATGAGGTTTAAAGGCTTAGCTGTCTCTTAAAATGAGAGTCTGGCTTTAATATTAGCTGGCCGAGTCATGCTGCACATTACCATTGCATGAATTAAAAAAATGGAACGTTACGAAAGAAAGAATTGGGCCAATTATCTAAATAAACAAATTGACCTATTCTTCACCAAATCAAAACATTTTTAAAACAGAATAATATTTATTGTTTATGGTACTAATATACTCTCTTTTGCGACCAATTAGAGGTGTTAATAGTTAAATTTTGTACAGTACCACGCCGACCCGTAGGCGAAAACTCTCTTGTATGAGCTATATACAAGTTATTTCCTGTTATATATAGCCCGGAAGGATTAGTAAAAGCTCTTTTTAAAGTAAAGTTCGGATTGAGAAGTTAACCATTAATAGGATAACTGACGGATACCAGAGAGAATCAAACAAGATCACTGATATCGAAATAAGCCTTATGCTATCTGGAATCGGGCTCAAGAACTTGGGAAATTAGGACGGTTTTTATAATAAGTAAATTTTCTTCAGGTATTATTATCCATTACTCAGTGAGAACCGTGTGGTTTTGCTGACTTAGGAAATCTATATTCCTTCAACGCTAAGTTGTTGATGCGACTGGAAGGTGATTCAGTTCCTGGCTAATGTATCGCTCCCATGTAAGGTAATCCGGTATTCTGGAATCCTCAAAACTTTTGCTTTGCAGCCCAAAATCCTGGGCTTTGCTACCCGATACTTCCAGCTCTGGGAATTCGGAATCCCGCAAACGATTGTAATCCGGAATCCAAGTTCCACTGACAAGTAATCCTGAGTCCACAGAGTTGGATTCCGGAATCCACGGCAAACCCGGCCATGAAGTCTGTCAATAAAAAGTGGTTGACTTTCTATCAGAAACTGTTATTTGAGCAAGAAACAAGTGTTTGCTGCCCGCAATAACAGGGGTGGGTATTGAGAAGGTTAAACTAAGAGAAAATGTAAGGGCTTTCCCCAGGTACAAAGAAAAAGGTCCGTAATAATCACTCAATAATGAGGTGTTATCTCCCATATTGCATCTCTCCAGGGAATACTGTAGCCCTATATGCTGATGACTGTAAGGCCTCTCAGATTGTTGACAGCCCTCAGGACCATGTCTTATTTCAACGTGACCTTGATAATCTCTGCAGCTGGAGTCAAATAAACAGTATGGATTTTAATATCAGGACGTGTAAACTTATGAGGATGTCCAAGAAAAAACAGCCCTCGGAAGTACAGTAGAAGTAAATCTTCAGTATGTATGACTCATCCTTAGATATTGTTTCATAGTTCAAGCACCTTGAGTCATATCCTCAAAAAATAAATAAATAAAGCGGTTGTCTAGGTTCGACTGCACCTGTTATCCGGAATTCAAATCGTGGAATCCAGAATGCAAGACTGTACTAGGATTGCATCACATGGGGCGACTGTAACAGTAGGTCAGTAAGACTGTGACAGGCTGCGAAAAATCATATGGAGTGCTGCTTCTCTTGTTATTTTCCAGAAACGATGCTTATTGTGGTCAATATTTGGAAAAAAAGAAGTGAGATTAGGAGTTTTGACTCGTGAGGTTGTGAGAAACGTCAAAAATTGTGAGACTCACGACAGAATCGCGAGAGTTGGCAGGTCTGAAAGAAGCAATAGGGCTTGAAAATGAAATGATCTGTTTTTTTTTTTTTTGTAGTTATAGAACGTCGAAACAAATGAAATAAAATAAATAGACTAAAATAATGGCTCTCAGTTATTTAATTAGCGTCCCTTGGATAATATAGCCTGAGTATCAGGCCTTCCTAAGGGGGTAGGGGAGTCTCCAGACTGGGGAGTCTTTAAAAACCTGAGCACGCAGCTTTTTAACAGCGGTTATAGCAAAAAAGGAGTTGCTTTTCGTGTATCTGTCAATAAAGTGTAAGTCAATCCGCCATGTTGTCTCATTTCTTTATCTTGTCGTCTCGTGGAGATACACTTATATTTCGCGACTGTATCCTTTTAAAAGTAGTTCCATAGTAATATTTATTGTGCTGGAAGCCTGGAATGTAATTATAACGCTTGAAATGGTATTTAATAATATGATTTCCGTGTTCAGTGGCAGTCAATGTAATTGGCACGAAATTCACATCTGATTTCATCTTTCCCACAACTGTTATCCATGTATTTTTGCGGCAGCAATATAACGAGCTGGCGTATATGTGAGAAGTTGTAGTCGGATGCTACTCATCCAACTTTTATTGTAAGCTTTCACTGATGCCTTTGCTATTATTTCAATTCAAAGTAGACAGACTGCACGTTATAGTCGTTCCATAATATTTTATTTATTTATTTATTTATTTATTTATTTATATCCATTTTTATTTGAATTGCATTTATTGGTACATCGCATTTATCCTTAAGTTATTTTGCAGACAGAGGAGATGGTGTAAAAGGGACACCAGAGATATTTTTCCAAAAAATCAAAACTGCCGGCAACAATAGTTTGCCTCCTATTTTTGTAAGTAGAATATTATAAAAAGCCTTGTAGCAAGGAACACTGTTATGTTGATATTTTAGTAGCCTTGTAATAACTGGGTACAAAGGAGGTGGCTGAATAATGTAAGTATGAAATAACAAAAAAGCAGAAAAGGCAACTAAATTTCATTATAACATGAGTTGCATGCATGAAATTAGAAAAGGAAGAAGGTGAGCCTAGCTATTTAAAAAAACAGGCGTGGGTTTATTCTTATTTTATATTGTTATTTCCAGTTGATTTTAAAGTGGTTCAGTTAGGAGAGTCAGTTGGAATCATTGTCAAAGCTCCCCCTGTGGAATAGAGAGCAAAGTTTTTACCTTTAATTCAAGAAATTATATGTACGGTATTTGATTTCATCCAATCGCAGTATACGAATACATAGTTAGGGTTTGGTTTTTCATTTACCTGGGCAATGATATTGCATATTGGTGTGTCAATGTTGTAGCTCTGTGTTATCATTTCGTGGAAGATGGGGAGTGACTTTCAGGTTACCTGGCCTACCCCTTGCTGTTGCTGTTTGCCATTTATTTTTCCAGCAGACAATAATGTCAATGTATATGCATATAGCTAAGTGTGGTTGTCTGATCTTATTCTATTGCTTTTGACTGTTGATTGACATGAAGGATAATATCAGTGAGAAGAGAATTCTTGAATAAATGGCCAAGGTGGTGTTAACTCTCTGTATGAATTGTGTGTCTATTTCAGAATGTCGATGGGGTCAATTTTATCTTTATTAAAAGAAATGGCCTGTATTTTGTCTGCATTACAAAGTTCAATATCTCACCAGCTTTTGCAGTTGAAGTTCTTACCAGGTAATAAATAAATAATATTTTGCTCCTGCATAAATGGAACCAAGCTTTTCTCCATTGTGTGAACATGGCATATTGCTTCGCTTCCTGAAGATATTCCCTTAAAAAACAAATTCGGTGATCAAATAAGGAAAGAATCATTATTGAACTCAGTTATTGAAAAATAATAATGATTTGTCAATGTCTCACAGATCAAATTATTATTTGCCTCAGCCTGATCTGCTCGCCACTGACAAATCACAATATGTTGCTCAACCTTGTCCAATAATAAAATAAGCATTAATCTGATTTCTGTTCATATTCTTTTGTTAACCATTGGTTATGTGATCTTCAGGTGTTAGGCAATTTAGCATAATTTGATCCACTACCACCATTCCAAGGTCCCAATTTCTCAGGCTGTTCTAAATGTTCGTTCTAATGTTTTAGTTATATGATTAGAAATGCCAATCATAACTGTGGTAGTAAACACCTTAACTGTCACACCCATGCATATCCATGGCCCTAATGTGCCACTTGTGATGTCATCAGGCCCACGCTCAGAGTCATAAGCAACTAGCACCTTGTCTGTACCTTAACAAGTCCAGGGAAAAACCTCTCACACTATATACACAAGTAAACATGATTTAGCCTTAAGGTCTGGAAAACAATGCAAAAAAAGGATAAAGAAAAGGAAAAAAATTAATAAGCTGACCTGAAAATTTCAACATAAATATGGTTCCATACCCACCTGCACTTCCTCTAAAAAGGCAATCTTAATTTTCTCCTAATAAAAATTTTGCTTGAGACTGAAATAGACTGAAAAGAGAAGTGCAAGAAAATCAAAAGAAACAGGGAGGAGGGAAAGTAAAATTCATGTAATATCAATGGTTTTGTTAATTGGTAGCCTGAGTGATCAGCAGTTGTTTCTCTAGAGTTTCAGATTTGTGTAAAGATTATTGTGGGGTTCTGAATGAGGAGTCAATCAAGTCTAATTTTCCTCTAATTTATGAGTTACTGGATGAAGTACTGGTGAGTTTTGTTTATTTTTTTTTTTTCAGTTAAATAATTGAGTAAGATAGTGTACATTCCAGTGTAACCCCCTTTAAACCATTCCACATGTATAAGTTCTACAGTAGAAAAGAGAAGATTTAAACCCTTTGGTCAAAAATTATGTACAGATTTGGGGCTGAAATATCATGTTTTTTGCTGTCTGAAGCCCTGGTCTGGAACTTTTCATGTAGTAGTATTATTTTTTTATTTTGTAATAATAATATAAATTTTTTTGCTTCTTAATAAGAAGAGTTGTTTAAGGCCTGAAATAGTAGGGTAGGGTTTTACAGTGCTTTGAAGCTACGTTTTTTTCAAATTTGCATTTTGACAACCTTAAATAATGTAAAAATGATTCCCAGACATACATGTACCGGTATTATATTGGTTGCCAGAAAAAGACATTGGGTGATAATTACATTACGTCATGAAGAGTTAAACAAGCAGGTAATCAATGGTTGCCCAACTACTACAACCAAATTTGAGGAACAAACAAGATGTCAAGACTTAACAGCCAAACAGCCAGGGTGAAAAAGGAAATTTGTTACAAATAAAATGGAGCACAAATAATATCTCATATATATGTTTCATGATCTTAGTGTTACTTTAATTTAGAAAGACCATGATCTAATAATGATCTAATACAGTTTGGCACATACACTGTAAAATTGAATACTGCCACACAGGCTTCACCAAATTGGTATCTTTCTCTGCAATTTTAGTCATGGAGACTTTCTTTACTGAGCAATTGGCAACCAAAATAGTCAACTGCTTGGAGCAATGAAAAAGATTGTCATGCAGCATACCACATGCCCTCAGGTCAAGGTCAAACTTCAGATGTAATACATGCAGTGCAGTGCATGAAATGATGTATAAAATAATATGCTAACTATATAATTTTTAATTTATTGTATATTAGTCTTATATTCCTTTTCACAGGACTTTGGCTATGTGCAAGTCACGTCAACTGAAAGCCTTAAAGCATATATTTGCAACCAGCCAGTGACCACAGCATCGGGAGATGATATACGGCAATGCACTGGAGGAACTGTGGTGTGTATGATATGTCATCTATTTTAAATGTAACTTCCTTTGCAAAAGAAAATAGTTAAACTCAAACGTGAACAAAGGATTGGGATAAAATTGAGGCACAATATGTTTATTGAAATTTTGATAAACATGTACGTGTATTTAAGTTTACTTAAACCATCTCTGATTGTTTGCATCTAATTAAAGTATAGAAATTACCCTAAAAATGCTTGTCAAGCATTTAGATGCACTGGTTTTGTATTGTGCTGTATCATCTGTAACCCTATCTGACACACTTGATTCAAGTGTTTGAAGCGTGACAATATGAAATACCCTTGAGTCCTACCTGTGGGATTAATTATTTTCCAACAATAATATTGTTTCCTGAATTCCTTTGTCAATGAAAGTTGAAACCATCAAATCTCTCCTCAGTGAAATGTAAAAGATCTGTTTTATATTTATTAATTATGTTTTTTTTTCTTTTTTTTCTTTAAAATCCTAAGAAATACAATGAATACTATCCAAACATAATTCTGCTAAAAAGTTTTCTATTGGATTTCAACCATTTATTGATTTTTATAAACTGTGCAAATGTAAGCGTGTCAGCTAGTATAATCTTGCCTTAACATCTCCTCTACTGATCAAATGAAAGGGCATATATTTTTTCTCTGTTCTTAGTTTGGTGTAGAAAAGATGTCCCTGCCCAGCACTGCTGCTAACAAACCTGTTGTTTTAGGAAAGGTTGGTATTTGTTTATTTGAATATTGTAAGCTATTTTGCAGTTTTAGCTTTTTATCAGAGTAGCCTGGGACCAGGCTTTGTAGTGGGGAAAAGGGTGAAAGCGCGGCGAGCAAAACAAACTGAATGGTGGATTGGGGAGGGGAAAAGGGCAGTGGAACCTTCACCAGATTACCACTCAGCGAGCCCTCTCCGATTTTTCTTTATAACCTCCCCCCTCCTACTGCAGAGTCGGTCCCACGCTATACCAAAGTGACATATATACTCTTTTGCTCCAAGATTGGCTTTGAATACCCTGGGTACCAGAGACTTTTTATGCTTTACATTTTCCAGTTTCATCAAGTCTTTATAGTGACCTGTATTAAAACTTCACCACTCATGGCTTTGTCCTGTGGGCAAGACCAAGGTAACCCACCACAAAAAAACCTCTGGTATCCAGCTTTAAATTAAAAAGACCTTAAAGGAATAATAGAAAATTATAGACAACTTTCTCAGAATAAATTTAATGATTATTAGCACTTTCTTTTGAATTAGTGTCCTTGTTCAAACATCGCTAATAAGTAAAGCCACCAACTTAGTTCAGTTCTGAAGAGCACTGGTCAGCCTAGTGGGAGGTCATGTTTAAACCTGGTTGGACTGCTATAGCAATGAAGATCCTGCTAGCTGTGTTTAAAAACCTGTTCAGTTCATATAATTTCAGTATTTAACAGCATCAGTAAGCTACAGGCCTTGTCTCCTTCATCCTTAGATATAAATCAAATTAGAAGAAGACATAAATGATCCTAATTGACATTGTTCAAAAAGGGTAGGGGACAGAGACCCTAGAATGACATCATATATGAAGTCAATCTGACTTTCCTATGGGGTGGGCAAGATCTGTACAGATCTGTGAGATCTGATCAGATCTGTACAGATTTCACAGATCTCTACATTGTACAAATCTGAACAATGTACTGAAGCAATATGCTCATGTTTTAGATCAAAATGGTTTCAACCTACAATACTCGTCACAAATCTTGAAACACTTGTGCGATTTTCCCCTTCCTCAATGTTGATTTGGGTATTACAGTCATCTCACTGCTCCAAAATACACGTGGCTCAACATTGGAGAAGGAGAGGGCCAAATTTAAGTGAGAACAAAGGTGTCAGGAGTGAATGTAAGAAATTTGGAGAAAATTCAAGAGAAATGGCTCCTGTTTCAACGATTTGTGACGAGTATTGTAGGTTGACTCCATTTTTTAGTTTCTTTGTTTCCAAACCCTAATTATTCATAATCATGACTGATTATGAAGGGCAAGGAGACAAAGGAAAGTGAAAATCAAACTACTTGTAGGCTAAAACCATTTTAACCTTCATTTCATTTTGACCTGCAACACCTACATCCGATCTCATCCCTGTTTCCTCTGTGATTCAGTCCCTACCTACAGCATATGGGCCCATTCTTTTACACAATGTTTAAGTGCACCCCTAAAATAAGAAGTATTTCCTACCCCTCACGTTTTTAGTTAGAAATGGTATCACTAGGAAAGCTTCTTAATTTCTCACTGATTTGTTAAACTTAAAGTGTGCTGTCTTCACCAGAAAAGATCCGTTTCTTGTCTCTTAAAGAAGTTCTTGTTTATTTATGAACATTGCCTGCCAAAATAAGTTTATTTTAGTACTAAAGAAAATTTAATAACTTTCTCATTGACTGAAGTGCTGCCCGTTCTAAGCACCCCTCCGTTGACTGTAAATTTAAATATCAGTCAGGCCAGCAAGTATAGGAAATATAGTGTATAAAATTGACATTCCTTCTGGTTCCATTTAGAGAGGAAACAAAAGTGAGGTGTTTATGGATTTACTGGAGAGACTTACAGTGTTGATCAGTTCAGATGTAAGTGATGTATTTACGTATAAGAGGGGTGCGCTCATTACAATAGATACTATATTTTCATTTCAAGCGACGTGCCAGGGAAGTTGAGTAAGTACAGTCAAACCTCTCCACAACGGCCGCCTTGGGTACAGAAGAAAGTGGACATTGTGGAGAGGTGGCTGTTATGGGCAGGTAGGGGTGTTACACCTCTACAGTGGAACCCCGTTAATACGGTCACCAATGGGCCAAAAACAGTTGGGGGTAATAACGAGGTGGCCGTATAAACGAGGGTTTCTTTATAAGAAAATGTATGGTCGCTTTTGCTGGGCGGTCATAAAAAGTGGCCGTATTACCGAGGTGGCCGTAAGGCGGGGTTCCCTTGTGTATAACAATTTGTTGTAGGGTGTACAACATGGTTTTTGTGCAAAGTTCATGCTTACTGTGTCCCATAATCATGGTAGTCCAGTCATACAGTATGATTATGGGACACAGTAAGCAATTTATACTGCTGCGTTAAGCAAAAATTGCTACAATACTTATAGCGGATATTGCAAACTATGCTCGCGTTTTGTCACGTTTTAATATTTTGATTCAAGACATAATTTAAGCTTTTTGTGTATTTTATCTCTATACGAGCATAGTTCGCAACAGTCGCTATAAGTATTGTAGCAATTTTTGCTTAATGCAGCAGTATAAATGAAACAAAATCAAAATACGATTGCCGCGATTGATCATGAACGTGCCAATTCGTGACCATTCTTGACTTTTTCATCAGTCGCGAAAAAAACTGGCCGTTTTCGAGAGGTTATTTTGGTAGTTGGGGACACGCGTCAGTGGCCGTTGCCATTGTAGAGAGGTGGCTGTTTGTGGAGGTTTGACTGTATTTAGATTTGATTTTACTACCTACCCACACTTCCTTTCAATAAATTCAAGACCCTCGCGAAGTTGGTAACTTTTCCAACGAAAATTAAATCTAGTAAATGCCCAGCCAGAAACGATAATTCAGCCAAAAATGAAAAGCCTCTAACTACTTTTGTCCCAACCTTCGGAAGCTGTGATTTTTTTATCATCAGGGACACGACGTAGCGTAGTGCTCGACTTCGAAAGTAAGGTTTTACAGCTCAAATAACTTCAAACGGCGTCTTTTCAAAAACATTTTCAGAGGGGGGAATAAATTAATTTTGTCCATCTGTACCTTCTTTTGGATTTGCCGTCAGCAGAGTTTCCTCACCTCTGTTTTAAAGCTTTTTTTGGGCAGTTACCTCTACAACCCCGGACAAAAGATTTGGAACACTTAGTCGACTTCCCCCCCCCCCCCTTCACAAAGTCGAAAATCGCTCAAGCTTTCCAAAACTGCGCTTGTTGACAACACTGCACGGGGACGAGGGGACTGTACTGAGCATGCCCAAAAATCGGAAGTGTTCCAAGTTTTTTTTTACTGGGGCTGTAGCTCATTTCCGTTTGTTCTACTTAATTTTTCTGTATCACTTGAGTTCGCAAAATTTCAAAAGGACGAATTTTAAAGACGGCTTTCAAAACCTAAAACAAGCTTCAATGTGTAATTCACGGTTAACATTAGCAGGGTATGTCCGGTAATACGGAAAACGAAAGGGAGCGGAGAGACCTTTATCTTAACTTTTGTTTCCAGGGAAACGTTTTAAGAAGTGAAGTAGACGGTTGCATTCAAATGAAGAGTTTTGTTGCTGGAAATCCGGAAATCCGGATTGGACTGAATGATGATTTCTTCGTCGACAAATCCAGCCTTACGTCTCAAGGTAAGTAGACAATCTTACTGATAAGTTGCTAGCTGAACTTTTTTTGGAGACTAACCTTTTTGCTTCAGCAGACGACTATAGGAAGAATGAAGGTTAAAGGTGATAAAGTCAGTTTTCATTCATTTTAATTCGGCAAACGGCAAGGTTGATTTTCAAGGATAGACGCACAGATTAGCGAAATGTCACCAAAGACTCATTGCCCAATTGCAGGAGATTTTGAACTATTTAAACCAGTTAGCTTTACGTTTAGGAGCAAATTTCTACTTGACCTTGAAACTAGAAACGACAAGGAAACCGGCATCTGTTTAATCTCCATTAGGCTGTTTAGAGCTCCATTTTTCCCATAAGATCGCTGTGATCCAGCTCTTGCTGTAACGGGCCGCCACCTTGATTTCACATTTTGGTCGGATTCCGGGACTGGAGATGGACCGCATTTTCCGGAAGGTTGCCTCCTAGACCATCTTTTTAGTTTCGGCCGAACTTTGCGGAAATTTTAGCTTAATGAAAAGCGCTTTCATTTCCAACCTGTCTGATAGCTACACAACGGTCATGTCTAGACACAAGTCAAGATACAAATTGTTACTAGACGCTATTGGATGATAGCTACACACATTTGCAAAGTGTATAGAGAGCACCAATTCTTATTCTTTGCTTTGTAGACAGTGTTGCTGTAAGGCTTGACAATTGTATATTCCATGAGTCTGTCGACTTGTCCAACTTTGAAACAACCAGAATACTTCTCGTAAAGCCACCAGAAGGCGAGGTAAGACGCTCGTTCTCATTTCAAGCTGAAAGCTGCGCATTTTTATTCTTGAAACAACACCGCCATTAAGTTATAACTGTGGGTACCAGAGGTTTGTGTCTCGCGTGCGGTGGGATGTTTTGGTGTCGGCCGCAGGCCGCGAGCGGTGGGAAAAGTCTCTGGTACCAAGGGTACTGAGCTGCTCTCTATAACTGCGAAATTACCACCCTGGAGTAAGCTCCAACTTTGGTGCAGATACCAGAGGTTTTGTCTCGCGTGCGGTGGTATGTTTGGGTGTCGGCCGCAGGTTGTGAGCGGCGGGAAAAGTCTCTGGTACCAAGGGTACTGAGCTGATTTCCATAACTGCGAAATTATCACCCTGGAGTCTCCCGGGAGTAAGCTCCAACTTTGGTGCAGATTCACGCCAAGTCCTTAGGTATCTTTTCTCTACTTTCAAAACAGTTGTCGTCAACTCGTTTACGTCCGTCCACATTTTAAAGGAAAACGGTTAGTAAAAGCCGGATTTGATTCTTGAATTCTTCTTGTACTCCTTCGAAATCACTGCTGGTGTCCAATACTAAGTTATCTAGCCCTCGCCAGAACTATCGTGTCCTCTAGTTGTGTGACGTAAAACCGATCAGCAGTGTTGCTTTCTAACTTCATTTCAGACTGGTGGTAAAAGTGATCGTTAATTTGTCTAGCTCTGAAATAAGTCGCACCCAAAACCGTCTATGAATGGCATGTTTTATTCCTCCTGTTTTAACAGTTTATCGTCATGAAGTACAGACTTTCCGAAGCACCACAGTCAACCCTTCCATTCACCCTAATTGCTTTTGTCGATGAAGATGAAGATTCCAAGTAAGTCCATGTGTAAATTACATCGAATATAAAACAGCAATAAAAATTATTTTGTCACTCTTGTCCGTTCTTAATGTCAGAGTCCCCACGATCACATTGAATAGGCCACCTTTGATACTGGGGTAATCAAAAGGCTTCAATATACTGACCGGTAATGAATATTTGCTTTTAGGGTTCTTGAAGTTGTACTCAAACTTAGATGTAACGTGCCTACATCCAGGTAATGCAATGAAATAAAACAACATATCGATGACTGTAGAGTGGTTGACGTGGCCTTTGTGGCAGACTTTACAAAATTTTAGCTCCAAGAAGCAATTCAAAAAGGTTCTTTATAGTGTTTTCATTTCCTGTCTCTTCTAGCTGTGCTAATAACATAGTCATGAAGTTACCAGTGCCAAAATCGGCAGTTAGTGTGTCCCATAAGGTAACATCCGGGACTCGGACAGCAGAGTTCAAGTCATCCGAGAAGGCCTGGTACTGGAACATAGCAAAGCTACAGGGTGGCTCAGAGATTTCTGCTTCTGTCAAGGTAAATCAGTAACCAAAAAAAATGGTTTGTAACGCTGGGCGACTTCCGTACTCAGTGTTGAGGTCCGTAAAAAAAGGGTAGCAAACGCAGTTACAGCAAAAAACCAGCAGGGAAAACTGATGAATCAAGTTTCTTCTCTTTTTTAGGTCCATATGGGTGAAAAACGAAAATCTGCTAGAAAGGAGATTGGTCCCGTAAGGTAAGTTTTGAAGAGCGATTAATTCCTTTTATTTTTAAGTACTTTGTACATCGTAATAAACATGCAGCACCACAGGAAAGTAGTAGTCTTAAGCATTCATTTGAATAGTCACTCTTTAGGATTTCTGTTCAAGAACAATTTTGAAAGCAGACAAAGTTTTTGATTTGGAGATTTTGAGTCCAAATCTTTCGTTCGGAAAGTAGAGAGCACGTGACCTCGTAGTCATGTCCCACTTTCTAAATCACCTTTAAATAGCTTCTATATCCGTATTCTTATTTCTTTCGTGCTGTATTTCGTGTAGGGTAAATGAAGTTACCAATTAAATGCACTCTCGTTATTACTGTTCTGCCATTCATAAATACACTCATATAGTGTTCTTTACTTTTCGTAATTATTTTAGTTTGGAATTCGAAATACCGATGTATATCTGCTCTGGACTACAAATTCGATACCTGCGAGTACAGGATCGCGATAAAGCCTACAGTCCCTTCCGCTGGGTCCGGTACATTACTCACAGGTGAAATTTCAAATTTACTAGTGGATTTTATAACCATAATCCAATGAGCCACGTTCTAAGTGTTAATCAAAAGTGTGATGTAGTAATGGTCTGTACCTGGTTTTTCAAGGGAAACGAAATTAGATTTCAGATGGGGTGACAGGACTCCAACCTGGCCCCAAAAGATGAATAATGCTTTCCATTATTCGAGGTACATGTAAATGTTTCTAAAGCGAGGTGATCTCAACAAAATTCGCACTTTAGCGCTCTCGTAAATGATAGCGTAATGGTAAAAAATCGAATGGACAGACGTTTAAATTGCTTCCTCACTTGAGAAGAGAAGTAGAACTTTTCTGTCGAGTCGCCAAGTTAAAAAGGTTTCTTGTGTCGTTCTCCGCAAGTTCAGACAATGGCAGCTCTGTTTGCCAAAGAAAAGGCGTTCTTTTCATGTTGCCTCCTGCGCGCAATAAAAGGACTGTTTCGTTAACATACACTTGTAATGGACAAAAGACATAGGCAATAAGCGCGGAAAGAATTGTTGACGGCGCCAAGGGTGGGAATAATTTTCAGGGGTGCCAAGCCCGGGAAAAATATTTATTGTGAGCGGTGCTAAGCGTGGGAAAAGTTGTGAGCGGTGCCCTGCGCGGGGCGGAAAATGGTGAGCGTTACAGATTGCAGTTTACTTTTTTTTTAGTGATTCCTACGTAATTCGGATTTAGCAGAGGACCGTGAGTATGTGTCACAGATGATTTAACAAGACCGCGACTATGGGTCAGAGATTGTCTCGAGCAAGTTAAACAACTGATACCCGCAACTGAGTTATTAACGTGAGTTATCAGTACGAGTTGTTTCTTCGTCCGTCTGGAGCCTCCTATGGTAACCATGTGAAAGGATTCACGTTTTCCGCGCCTCTCAACGAGTGAAGTAACCCAAAGGAATAATTACCAGTAGATGCAATTGCTTTCTAGTTCATTCGCCACTGACAACGGATCGGCGACTTCACCAGACGTAGCACACAAATTTTCTACTGATGACTCCGATTTGGTTTTATATATTGATTTTGTGGATGAAATCCGACAGTGTGACCATTCATGTCAAAGGAATGCTATTTAGCAGTTCTTTCGCTTTCACGATTTTGGCGTATTTAGACTCCGAATGAATCGAATAAGAGCTTTGTTGAGCATGCTTTACATGTTGTTAGTATACAGTTTCGAACCCAGGCCCTAATAGTTTGGCGCTTGGTACAGCGGGGTTCAGTTATGACTATCGGTTTATCAATAAACAGAAGCTCGCACCCGAAAAACCACTTTGACCAGAGAAAGTAAGATTGAATAGTCCAGAAGGGCGGGATTCGGCGACTTCAAAAGCTTGACGAGATTCTGGAAAAGCCCCCTTTTCTCCTCCCGCATTAAGAAAACTGAGGACAAAAGGAGGGTCTACTCTCAGGGCGTGGCCGTATGAAAAGAACCCCACAGTATACGAATAAGAGCGTAAAAAGGCTTGTCTATTGTTTCCAATAATAGTTAGTGAAGAAATCTTAATCACAGATTTACCCTTGATTTTACATATATATAAATATTTTCACATATATGTCATATTTAGAAAGAGCTCTGATAAATGTATACATAAAAATGCACAGCTTTTATGTTAACCAGCTCAAGCTGACAAAACTACGTTCCGTGGTTAAATAAAAGAAGAAACGTTACTGTCAGAACGAAAACGGCTTTTCTTGCAAATGAAAAGTCAGGAAATACTAGACATTCCCGATAAATCCCAAACCAAGACCAGTCTCTTAATGGCCGTAGTTCCTCCACCACAACTTTCCTAATGTAAAAGAGACCCCGCCTAACGGCCACCGTGGTAGTACGGTTGCCTCGTTATTACTGCGGCTTTTTTTGGCCGCCCGGCAAAAATGACCATACACTTTCTTGAAAAGAAACCCTCGTTAATACGGCCACCTCGTTATTACGCCCAAATATTTTTGGCCTATTAATGACCGTATTAACGAGGTTCCACTGTACCACTACACATGCAGTTGGCGACAAAATGAGGCACTTCCCATATAAAAGAAACGGGGCGTCTGTTAAAGTACACGTCCTGTTGTCCGGTCGAGATGTTCTAAATGGAATACTGCATACCATCCATGATAGTGGCAGAATTTTGAGGAAACCAAACGACAGTGCCAGCCAGACGTTAAGGAACTTTCCGCCAAAGTTTACCTTCCTTTAAACAAATCTTTTTTGTACAAGACCTTCCCATGCACACCCGCGCGCATCTTTCACGCGCTTCACTCGTTATTAAGAAACTTATCCGCAAGGGGACGGCAAAGCATTTGTGTGTGACAACCATGACAGGGCTGTTACTTGCGCGTTTTTTCGTGACCTTCACTTGTCATTACTGTGTCCTGGTCTTTTGCAAATTAAAATATCTGTTCAAAGGTAGATGACGATTTGGTGGAATAGTTTTTTTCAAACATAATTTTTGTCACTCGCTCGTCACATAAGGTTTGCCGTCTTCTTTTCCGTACCTTCCTTTTTCTATATTTTAAGGAGATTAAAACGCGACGACTTGAGACAAGTCAAAAAGTTGCCGACCAGTTTCCCGATGAGGTTGATAACAGACACATGCTACCAAGGGAAACATAAGCGCCCGTGCGCGCGCACATACGTTTGTTAAAAATCCATCCAATCAGGAACTTCGTTAGTGGTTTTCTTATGACGCGTCTCGCACGCACCACGAGAAATTCCATGGAAACATTAAAAAAACTAACGGATTAGAAAAACTGCAATTTTCTTTGTGAGTTTACAGGCATGGCAAGAGTTTCTCCCTACCCATCAACAGAACCTCCAGCCGAAACAAGTTTGCTTAACTTTCCAGAGAAATTATGGTGGATAGTCAATAATCCCAAACGTGAAGAAATTCACTGGACTTCTGAAGGTACAAGTATTGTTATACCAAACACTCGAAAATTTGTCGACGAGATTCTAAATAGTCCATCGAGCGCGCTTTTCAAGACGAAGAATTTCTCGAGTTTTGTTCGACAGTTAAACTTGTATGGCTTTCGCAAAGTCACTGAATACCCCAAAAAGACAGTACATTCTCCACTTTTGGTACCTTCCAAGTGTGAGTTCAAGCATACTTTTTTTCGCAAAGGAAGGCGAGGTAAGATGAACGTACTGTTTTGATTTTTGTTTGTTTGTTTGTTTAATTTGTTTTGTTTTGTTTTGCTTAAGTTGTTCATGTCTGTTTTCTTTATCGTTCTCTTCTTTTGTTTTGTTTTGTTTTGTTTTTTTTTTTGTTTCATTGTTTGTTTCCTAGATCGTTAATCAGGAAATCAAAATCGTTTTCGGGAATCCGGCGAAATGTCGTTGGTTTGAAATGCACGCCTGAACTCAAACTAAAAACAAAACTGAGTGTGCTAAATTACATCCTTCTCAATTCCTTGGTTTAGTTTCCGCTCTTAGACTTGTGGCTCTCCTAACCAACTCACCGATGACCAGGCAAAAAATAAAAAACAAACGAATTGCATTAAAAGAAAAGAACACTTTTTCTATATTTCTCTGAAAGCAGCTTTTGGGATTGATCAAAAGTCTGTACATTTAGATTATTTTGATATCTTTACCGTAGAAAAACAACAACAACCGTAAAACCTGGCTTGTGCGCTTTTCCTCTCTGCAGATCTCTTAGTCAACGTTAAAAGACAGTTATACACACCGAGAAAATCCGAGGACAAGCAACAGAGAAAACCAGCCTCTCTCTTCAAAGAAAAACAGTCTGATTCCATTTCGCCGACCCTCTCTTGGAATCCTACTCTGTATACACCTATGCCATTTATCCCCTGGCAAGCTTCGTTTCAGATGCCGCTCACTCTTTACGCGCCGTTTTGCAATGCATATCAGTTAGCACAATTGCAACAGGGACCTGTTGCCGGTGTTACAAATTTCCAAGGACTGGGGATACCTGGGCAGCTTCAACAGAGTCCCACGAATACCCTAATGGGAAGTGATGGGAGTGTAAATTCTGTTCCCTCATTTACTCCACCTCAACTAGGGGCTGCTGGAGGTGTTGTGTTTTTGCCATCCCATGGAAATCTGCCCGCAACAGCTACTTCTGAAGGTAAATTACATGTATTTCTGATCAATGTACTGTAATTCGATACAACATTGTAGATCAATTAGTCGATGGATTGACTGTGAGATGGAACATTAGCTGTTCCAAACTGTCGGCTGCTTTGAGTGACACAGAGTCGATTTATATGATTGAAGAACGTCAATTGATTTACTAAATGAATGTGAGAGAGTGAATGAATTAATCAGTGAACGACTTTCTGAATGGCTAACCAATCAACCATCTCATCAACTGTCTCGTTCACTGACTGGCAGGCTGACTATTTGACCAATCGACTTTCTGGTAGACTGACTGGTAAGCTGATCTAGCTGAATGAAATCAGTTGAACGGGCTGACCAAATGAGTGACTAACTGGATAAGTGACTGAATGACTGCAATAATATAGATCGTTTTCACCGTCACGCAACAAAAAATTAAATTGGAAACCGTCCAGTGGAAGAAACCAAGAAAATGAAATTTTATAGAAGACTAATATATAAACAATTTGTCCAAGTCTCAGGTCTTTGTGGCCCATAGTTTCTGAGTTATTTGGCGAAACGTTTCACGCACCTTTGTAGAGCTTTGTATGGAGACGCCATATTGGTGCACCGTTTTGGTGCACCAATAGGGAACTTAAGATGGAGACGTTTTCGGGGCGACGGCGACCGGACTGGCAGAGAAAGCCTGGAACTAAGGCAGCCGTCGCTTCCCGTCAAAAATAGAACATTAAGATCGCAGTGAACTCAGAAGGACGGCGCCTTTAATTAGAAGAATACCGAAGAGGAAAATATGGCTTCACATAAAGAATTAAGAGAATAAATATTTGCTATGCAGACAACATGTATCGGATGAAGAGTTTCTCGTTTTGTGGGAAAATTATGAGTCGAAAAATCCCGATTTTCCTCGGGACAGTTACGATCCGTTCACGCTAAAAAACATGCGGGATGCAGCTGAGTTCAAGGCAGAATTTCGTGTTGAAAAAAAATGATCTCCACAGGCTTGCCGAAGCCTTTTAAATTACAGGAACATTAAAATGCTACCAAGGAACCGTATTCTTAGTTTGGTATTGAAATAAGTCCCGGGAAATACTTGCATGCAACAACAACAACAACAACGGTATCAACTTTATTTCAGTATTCCCACGCCGAGTTAGTACATGGTATTACCTACTATTCTATATAATTTTCAATGCGTTTCATTTATACGATATTCTAACGAAAAGAGCGAACTAAAAACACACAATTGAAATATCGGAGTTCATATTTTTTGTCTGGATACTTTTATTTGGCTCGTAGCAAAATTTTGTCCATGTCAAGCTCGCTTACGGTTGGCTGTTTGCCAAGTTGGATCTTGACCGTGTGACATGAAAACATAGAAACATCCAAAGATGTAAGTTTAGATAACAGAGCTTGGAAATCGAGCTTGAAATGTGCCTCAAAGAAAACAAGGACAATTTAAGAACGATAATCTGCAAAATGTTGGTTGCTAAACGCAACAAACCTGATTGAAATGAAAGTTAAACACTCACGTTTTCGCCACAACGCCAAACAGACCAGTTTCACGTCGCCGACGGGACCACGACGGCAAGGTGGTGAGCACGAGCATGCGCAATATCCAACAAATGATGATGTCACGTCCGGTTGAAGTTGCCGTCGCCCCGAAAACGTCTCTATCTTAAGTTCCCTAATATGGCCGCCGGAAATCAACCAAAACATCTTGAGTTTACTTTTTCTATAAAAGCTCTCTCTTTTCACTCGAGAACTAGCGTACGTACGCATAAACATATCTTCTAATACTTGAAGTGGTTATATTGCTGAAAATCAAGAGGAGAGACCTTTTTTCAAGGAGACCGCATTCCTATTTTGGTGTCACGCACTGCGTAAACTCGGAAGTTCAAATTGCTGTATTTTCGAAATGAAACATGATGCTAAGGAAATGGAAACTTGTACAAAGATTCACTTTTTGTTTATCTTCAACCTAGTGTAAATAAAAATTCGTAAAACCTCGCTATTTTGACCTTACAATTTGATGACGTCACAGTGAAAACCATCTATAGTCTATACTGTTTACTGCGCCTTACTCTTACGGGCAGGTATTGTTCTAGTTTCAATAAAGAGGTTAACATTGACTAGAATATCAAGTTAACTAAAAGAGAGAAACTATGTGAGGCAACTGATACAAAAACAATCGAACAATTCGTTAGTTACATTTTGATTTGTGGATCTATTTTGACCTGCGGAACATTAAATAATTTACCGGCTATTTTAAAAGTATTTTCGGGTGACTGACCGACTGACCTACTGCATATCCACCTGACAACCGTCATGGTAATGGCCAAATTACCCATCAACTGACCGGCTGACTAGCCTGTTCCAGGCGTTCAAATTGTAAGGACAGAGCAAAGAGATGTGAGCAGGATAAACAGCGAGGGGTGGGGTAAATGCCCTCTCCCTCTCTCCCTTATTTTTTTCCTCCGCTCTCTGGCTTCGCGCCGCACTCCACTATCTTAACGCTTATAACAGGCTACTGACTGACAAGTGTGTAGTATGGTTCTTACCTGACTCGCGTCGCACTGATCCCCGGCCCATTTTCAGTAGCTATGTACTGACTGATTGTGAAAACTGTACACCATCCCTTTAGGTGGAAATGGTCTCAATTCTCCGCTAATGACAACATCAACAGCAGATGCAGCCACAAACTCTGCACAAAACGCTCACCCAGAGAGCAATGTTCCGCGTTCCACTTATATCATAGACACTGATTCTGGTGCTAAGCGCACTGACCAGCTTACAGGGCAAAGCAAAGCTGATGTAGCGAGTGATAGTTCGACAACAAATAGCAGCTTCATCACAGGATATACAAGTGCTTCCGGCAGTAACAAGCCTACCTTACCTGCAGAAAATATCAGCTCTGTTTCATTTTGACATTCAACACATGCATTAAATGAACAAACCATGGACTCATTTCAAGCATACGCGGGTTTTTTCGTCATGAAGTAAAACAATGATAACTGCGGTATTTAGTCACAAATTTCTGTCACAAAGTAGCTTAATGTAATAAAGATATTCGTACTAATGCAGTTTATATAAAGAATAAAAATTGTTTAAAAACTGACATGGTTGGCGTATTTGTTGTGTAGCGCAAAACGCGCAAATTACGTCTACAAAAATGAACGCTTGCGCAAGACAGCAATAGTTGGGAAACAAAGAAAATTTTACCCCCAAATTTTGTTCGACACAGCGACTGCACACCCACTCGATTTTTCTGTCAAAATCGCCAACTAATAATCAAACTCGGTAATCCTACTGGTATTTTGAATTACTGCTGGATACAAACACCAGTGACGCATTTTTCGTACATAGTTAGCCAGTACGGTGCTTACTCACAACTCATCCGCTCTCAATTCATGACTGTATATATTTACCCCACGTCAAGAATAACCTTGTTATAATGCATCATTAGTAGTTTTAGACCCCGTTTACACGAGTCCGGACAAATTCAACACCTGAACCGGGCAAGTTTTTGCAAAGTTTGCACGGTAAAAGCCTGGAGCCAAGTTACGCGTCTTTGATAAGTCGCACTTGTAAACAGTTAGTACTGCAATGTGTGACAGAAGCTACACGGTTCCGTGTAAAAGGGTTCACAAGGTAAAAAATTCGTCCGCGTAAAAATTTTAAGCGGAAGAATTTTTTACCTTTTGAACCCTTTTACACGGAACCGTGCAGCTTCACATAGCTCATAGCTAGTTAATAGATTGGAATGGTTATGAAACCCGTCAGACTCTTTTGAGACCTGACGGTACACAACGTTCAATAGCATTCTCATCATTTTGATCTTACTGGCCAATAGAAAAAAATGACCATCTTCTGATCAGGTCGAAATTTGCACACTTTGCCGCCGAAAAAGTTGCGCGGATCCGCAGGTCCGGCGTAAACAAGAGGCAGCTCGGTGCAAGTTTTCGTCCGTTCAAGAATTTGTCTGGACCGGTGTAAACGGGGTGTTAAAAGATCATAAACTCAGCTGTTTTTCGCACCCGCGTTCTTTCGCGCACAGAGTAGGGTGTAAACTGGACTCCCTCTAACGGCTGAAAATCGTGCCCAGGGGAACTCAAAACTAGAATCACGTTTAGTTTAGTTGTCGTTTGTTGTTAATTAAATCTTCACAAAGTAGGAATCTCCGAGTTTGGTCCAGCTATAAAAATTACTTTGGACAATTTTTATCTGCTCATTTCATTATTTGAGAAAGTGTCAACTTGAATCTCACGATTGCCGTTCGCCATAAACGTGACTCTTAATCTCTCTATTGTGCTACATAGGGCGAATGCTAAGGAACAGTAGCAGGCGCAACAAGCGTTATTGCGGTCGTTTGGGCGGGTTTTTGAGCGCGCACGTGAAGCACGCATCGCTCTCTCGCTCCAAAGTTCCCCAAAGTGACCCCAATAATGCGTTGAACGCGGTACGGTTGTGTCGGCAAATGAAGACAGGTTCTGCATGAAGTCAAATCTTCAAAAGGAAAAAAAAACATCTTCACAGACAAGATTTCTAAAATTTTACATCCTTTTATTCAACAAGGAGGTTTTTTTACATCACCTCATCTTTAAACATTTACTCTATGTGGTAAAATTCAGAACTCAGCTGAGTAACCGACTTTGTCGCTTTTCACTCTTACTAACCGTCATCCTGACAGCCTGCGCCTGTCATGAGTCAGCAGAAAAATAAGCAATACTCGTGACGCTGACCAAAAGAAAAGCGGGAATAACAGTGATTTCCTTGTTCTGTTAAGCAAGTTAAAATGTAATAAAAAATCTCAATGTTAACCTTACATAACCATTACCAATATTTCATACGAAAATAGAGAAAATTGTTAAGATTTATTATAACAAGGTCGAAGTTAAAGCTTTTAAAAGCAGCCACCATAGGTGACGGTTGATCATTTTATAGACCACCCAATTATAATTTAACAGGCAGTTGTCGTATGCACTACCACTAACAATCACTTTCATCTCGGCGATAACGCGTTTCTTACTGCTAACAAGAGAGAGTATAATGGAACAGAGGGAAACGCCCAGTCTAGCACTTGGGATATGTGAATTTCACAAAAGTTGCTTTTACACTAATTAAACACGTGAAATTAATCGGAAGTTTGTTTCCGTAAAGGTCCGCAATCTTTTATTCAGTTTTGTCAAGAGAGAATTCAACAGGGGCCATTACAATATTCTGCAACAATAAAACAACTGTACAGCATTGTTTGCGTTGAGGCAGTCGCGTATAAACTTGATGGCGTTTCAAGCAATCGAGTAAAATATGCTGACGTCTCGGGAATTGTAGTTCCGTTTAATTACAACCTTTAAAAACAATTTCAGTTCAATTCACATATCCGGCCAACGTCCTAAGATTCCTTCTCGCTCCAATTATTCTTCCCAGCTTGCTGCCCTTAATCAAACTGATTTTCCATTGAACTAAATAGTAATATCAAAGAATACGAACATTTTCTTCTTATTTTGTATTGTTAAGTTACCGTCTATACCAACTTTCGACCTGAAATCGAGGTCAATCTGAAACTCATTTCAACCTTGCTTCCAGTTTCTCGCACTAGCCCCCACTCCCACCTTGCTTAATGTGTTATTCGTTAAAAATGAGTGTGAAGAAGTTAAACTGTCGTCAGTTATGTCTTGGTCAAGTCTGTGTAAGTCAGTAACCATGAGGCATATACTTCTACAGGAAAATAAATCTGCACGTCGTGTAATCTGCTGCTTGCGTTGCCATGTCTTACTTCGATAATTTCGCAGCTATCAAAGGAGAGTTTATCCGTTAACAATGGACCGATGTTTCCGCCTCTCCTTTTGCCACATAATAAGTCTTAATCACATACACAAGTAAGAATTAGGTTGTAGATGGCGGAGGTGAACCTGCAAGGCTAGTTTCTAGGAATTAGGGTTATCCATATAGAGACCTCAAACAAAGAGACTGGGAATCAGCTGAATATCATCCTTTGGGTAACCAATCAAAAGTAATTGGTTACGCTGATTGCCCTGATAAACACTGAGTTGTAACAACCAACGCTAGCTATATAAACTCTCCAAGTTATCGTATGACTGTTACGTTTGTGGCATAAAGTTAAACTAGTCAAACAGTCCAATTTGTTACAAAACGTTCCCTTGTATTTGTTGTTTACTTTTAATGTTCTTTCTCTGTCTGGAAAATTAGCTGGTTTTTCTAAATTTTAGATGCATATTCAAAATTGAAGAACAAAGGCCAAGACATTATCTGCTTAGCCGTTCTCGGCACCAGTCCTTACTTGAGAAATTGAATAAAAATGTCAAAAATCACCCAAAGACCTGGAGCCGAGAACAAACAGCAGTATGGCTTACCTCGTAAACCTCGCAATGAAACCGAGGCAAAACATTTACTGGGAAAATTCACATTGCGAATATGAATGTCTTGAAAGATTCGAATTACTCGCACTCTTCACTACACACAGGAGTCTGGTGTTTACAAAGGTAAATACACAGGTCTTTGATGGTTCCCATCTTGTAACCACAGCGAGGCACAGCACACTGTTCATAGGTCATAGGGTCCTTGCAAACTCTTTTGCACTTTTTGACATGGATTTCTTGCTCATCGTTAGACTCCTCACTTTCTCCTTCCGCCTCAGTCTCCTTTTCTTTGTCATCTTTTGGCGCGTTACCGCTGTACAGCTCAAAGTCATAACCGCTGGCCACTGGGGTTAGAAGTCTGCTCAAGCTTTCGATTCCCTTTCTTATCACTTCTGCACTTCCGCTTTCCTCTGACTCTTCTTCGTTGTCAGCCGAAGATGCATCTTCGATTTCGGACTTTTTTGACGCAACAACGTCGTTCATTTCTTGTTGAGCGCCGCTAGCCTCTTCCTGTGAACCACTTGAGGGCTCAGTTTCTTGAATGGTACTCTCCTCAGATTCTGATTGGTCATTATCATCGTCTTGCTGCTCAATCCCTGATCCTGAACTAGATTCATCCATGGATCGTCTAGCGGCGTTTTCGTTTTCAATCAGTCCCGAGCCACTTGAATCTTCATCCTCTACACTTTCCTTCTCACTTTTCTTCTCTGTAACGTCATCTTCATCGTCGTCGCTTTTTTCCTCTTCGTCATCATCCTCTTCACCTTCATTACCGTCACCGGAAGTGGGACTGCTATCAGTTTGTTCCGCTTCCGCCTCATCGTTGCCGGAAGTTTCCTCGCCTCTCGAATCGGAATTTTCCGATTTGCCTTGGCTCTCGTACACGTGACTTCCAGAGCCAACGAAAATGTCTTCGGTGGCGTCAATTTGTTGAACTCTTTCTCTTTCTTCCTCTGACATGTCATTTGAAGCAGGCTCTAGCGCTTCATCGCCATTGCTCTGAGTATCATTGATTTCTCTCGCCCTTCTAAGCAATGCCTTCCCTAACTGATATCTGGCAGTGTTAAATCGATTGGCACCTGCGTGATAATACAGGGCCGCAACAAACACGCTTAGCAGTAGTGGGAGACTCGAACGCATCCCTGGAAAGGAAATAGAAATTTTTTTTACTAAAATTCGCCACTTAAGAAAAGAGAAGGGAACTGGAGCCGAAATGCGTCCTCTAATTGTTTCTGAGATCGTTACTAGGACACGCCTGTCAGCTATTGGTCAATTAGCAACATTTCCAGAACTCTTTGCGAACCTTAACTCGGCCCAGATCCCATCTCGATTTAAAGTGGCAAAGGAGAATGTTTTATAGTTAACGTCTTTCTGTAGTTCTGGGTCCGGTTGATTACATCCCGCGCCGACTATCACTAACGCATCCGGGTTTAAATTTTACTCCAGGTACCTTTTTCTTTTGCTAAAGACTACTTTTCCTGTTAATTTTCGCTGGTCAGTTAAGAGTGTCGAATTGTCAAATTGTAGGCAAAGAGAATTTACAGAAATATACTTTGTAAGCGTTCACAGTTGAATTCAAATCTCTCGCACACCCTGATTATGAAAATAGGAAGCTTAAGCAACTACGACGACGACGACCACAACGACGACTTCAAAAAACAATAGCTTTAATGATCAAAACAACAGCTCTGCACGTGCATCAGGCTTTTTAGTACATTTCTTTGACGTCCACTGCGCGACTACGACGTGAAACCTTCTAATTTGACGTTTTATGGAGGACGTGGACATACGACGACGAATTCTCCTTCCTCTTTTTGAACCTGAGAAAAATCCTTAAGAATTCAACTCCAGGAAAAATCTCCTGCATTTACAATATTGAGGGGGTCCAAATAGATGCGATTAAGTTTGAAAGAACGTAAATTCATTTTTTTTTTTACCGACGTTTTCACTGCCGTCGTCGTCGTGCTTGCTTAAGGTCCCTAATATCCTACTTTATACAACCCGGCCCTTCTTGTCTGATTGCAGCGTGACCGTGGCCTTTGACTGAAACTCAGTTTGACAGATCATCCATGTTGCCCTTTTGTGTTTTTAGAAGGGATGGGGTGGGGGTGAGGGTCCACAATGTATTTTGTAGCCTCAGTATATGTTACATGCTGTTCCTTTACTTTCCCTCTCAAAGTCACTTGAATGTACAGTTTGGATTTCCTTTAACCACCCTAATAATTCGGACCAAATCTCGCTCCCCTTTCCCCATTCAAACAGTAGTTTAGTCTAAAGTTTTTTAATCTCTCGATAATAGAGTACTAAACTGATGACGTCATAAAATGAAATTTCTGAAATTGTAGGATTTGTCAGGATATTCTGAAAGAACAATGTCGAAGAGGCCTACTTACCAAAAATGAGCATTTCGGGGCAAATTGTCTCTGAGATGTTAGCCGGTTATACTCAGAAAACTCCATACAAACCCTTCTAATTTGTTTTTGGGTCGACCCAAGAAAATTTAGAAGGGTTTGTATGGAGTTTTCTAAGCATAACTGGGTTACGATCTCAGAGACGATTTGCCCCGAAATGCTGATTTTTGGCAAGTAGGCCTCTTAGGGCCTCTTCATATGAGCCCGGTTGACCGGGCTGGCCCGGTTTCCGAGATCTCGCCTCACCTCTAAATCCTTTGTAAAATTTTTTATGTGTTCATGTGGGAGGGCGGGCTGGCTCGGTTGCCGAGATCTCGGTAAGCGGGCTGGAAATTTTGCCATATGAACACTTCATCCCGGTTACCGGGATGAACGGATGAATGAATTCTGGCTGTCCGGATGGCATCGTCTTGCATTGGCTGCTGTATTTTCCACATCATAAGCATGCCATTTAACTGCAGTGATACAGCTTTAAGAGTTACCGATGCTAAGATAGGCCCGCAAGTTAAAATTTTTGTGTTTTGCTATGTTTGCTTTGTTTCCCAAATTTGGCGCCAGAACTCGTACCCAGGATCTTTGACCTTTTCTCATCTCGGAAACCGGGCTGAAATTTCTCATCTGAATCCAAGGCAAAATTTATCCCGGTAACCGAGCCAGCCCGGTCAACCGGGCTCATATGAAGAGGCCCTTAGACACTGTTCTTTCAGAATATCCTGACAAATCCCATAATTTCAGAAATTTCATTTTTATGACGTCACACTTAAGTACTCTATTTAGTGAACCACTTTCCTTTATCCGTCAGGAGGTTCGAAAAAACGTGGACGCGGTTTATTTCGTCCTCCACATTTTGAGAACGAATTTTGGAGTCAGGTACTTGGGGTGGAAAGAATAAATCGCAACATAAAATTTCCAGTAATGGTCTTCATGACCTCCCTCTCTTTTCTGTACCCGTATGTCCTGATACTATTATTGTCTCGATATCTTGTCTTTGGTTTACAATTCTCTCAATAGCTGTAGTGTTTATCTTTAGCATGTTTACTCGTCTACGATCGTAAAGTTTCCCTTTGACAGCCACAAATCTCCCAGTCGGGAAGGTACATGATTGGTTGGTTCTTAAAAAACGCTGATGAGGGAAAATGTCGAGTTTTGGAGGTGGCGGTACTTTTCGAGAAATAAGAGTCTCAAAATTTTACTCAGTCTGTCGAGATTGAGGGCCTCGCTGTCTCTTTCCCACTTTTTCTCAAGAAAGTTGTTAAGTCTCTATTTAATGGTTGATTGCTTAATAGCTGTCGTTTCCACAGTGTCACCTGTACTCCATATTAAATGACCAAGTATCCTTTTCTGAATTTGATCGGCACTGTGACTTTCCTCGATATTAAGGTGTCAATAGGCTCTTCTTATTTTTACAGTTCGAGAAAAACTCTCAGATTCTCGAGCACAAATGTTAAAAGTTCAAGAGTCTGCCAAAACATAATTTCGCAATTCAAAACATGACGATGAAAAGTCTCGAATTTAGCATCCGCCAACCTAATCTAAGTATACTTGAGTTTTAAGATTAGAAGTCATATTTCTAGGGAAAAAATTGATGATTATTCCAACAAACAAGTTATCCCGATGGCTTCTTCAAAATACAAGAGAAGTAACCACCCATAACCTTAAGATTAAAATTAGATTATACGAATGCCATAAGAGTGTTTCTTTTTTCTCGTACAATCATGAACTAGATAAGTTAACCAATTCTAACAAGTCAAGAGAAAATACACCGAAATTCCCTTCCTAGAAAAGAAATATGAAAATGTTTTTAAAAAAACTCTCATGGGCTGCACTTCTCAGTTAAAGCACAGCTCATGGCTTTGCTTAGATGGACCTGCTAAAATATGAATCATTTAAAGATTTTGTTCCGGTCACTCATTTTACAATCCCGCCACAAGAAAAATCAGGATTTCACAGGAGGAAAGCTAATCTGCCCGTTTTCGAATTGAGGAAAGGAAAATTTAAAATTAACGCTTTTTAAAATAGCCAAAGGCTATTCTTGCTGAAGGAAAAAATACCACCTATTGTAGTCAACTTATGAGTGTTATTTGCCCCTTAATTATCTCAAAGGTTAAACCTTCTCTTGGAAAACTTGACATGGTATTGGAAATAAAGGAAGAATCGCTCTTTCGCTTACCTTTATGCCACGATATCCGCAGAATATAATACTGCGTCCAAAAACGAAGAAAATCCTCAAAATTTAGCTTATTTTTTCCAAACAAACTTCAAACTCTTATATGGTTATGTGACCTCAGTGTTGTGTAGCGAAATGCCCGGTAATATTTTATTTACGCGCCAGATCTGTGATGTAATTGCTCACTGAGTGTAAATTACACAACGGGTACTGTTTGGAAATGTGATGAAAATCGCTTCCTCATTGCCAATTTTTGAAATTCACAGTTTTCCTTTTCCTTTTCTCAGAATCGAAGTTCTCACTCATATTTCACTTGGTTATACTTCTTACATCTTACGAGGATCGACATATTTTTGCATTTTGTTGCTGAAAGACATATCGACAACAGATGACCAAGTTTACAAACTTTGATCTGGATGGTGCTTCGATGGAGATCACGGACACTTTTATTTGAAACAATTCACATAAAGAACCTTACATCCTAGCTCGTCGACCGGGTGAATTTAGATTTATTGATAATTTCATTTGCTGCGTCAGCAAGAGTTAATTGCGATGTGCTGGACGATTTGTGCTGTTAAATTGTCAAACAAAAGTACTCTTTGGGTGTTCCTCCACTACTGGTCAGCGGAGTCTCCCTTGTTGCATGTTAACGCTCTGAAAAAGCTCATTCCCCTCAACCGCGACGTTTGATTATTGTAAATGGAAAGACTGTTATGCTCTTCAAATTTATTAGATTTATTTCAAACACTTAGGTCCAGGATTGAACGCAAATGCAAAATTTACAAATTAGTAATTTTGTTGTGATATCTTATGGCTTCTGAAAATTTGCAAGGAAATGCCTTGAGATTCCCAGATGGCGAAA